CACGCGTGAAACGGAGACCTCCGGTTGATACACTTCTCCACGCGCGTCCGTGGGATTAGGAGGATCTTGTATCAAGAACACGGACCTTTGATTTCTTAACCTTTTACACGGCAATGTTCCCCGACAAGAACGTTGACAATCTTCTCTTCGCGCCGTCGTCGTCTTTGCTTCGGGAGATCGCTTTAATACTGTATCATACACCAACAAAGTTTCAATAACATCCTTGAAGTAATAACGCGCGCGCGCGCGTTCCGCAGAATTGTCCGATTTGAATCTTCCATACATTTGATTCTTCGGCGAACGTTCCCAAAAATCAATAATATTCGTGCGTTTTGGAAATGCAATTTATAAAATCTTCGAATAGAAAACAATTGTAAAAGAGACGATAAGAATGCTTAGTTTGATTGGATCTGTATTCGGCCTATAAAAGGTTCATACACGTTCGAAGCCACGATCTCTACTTCAGTCGTGCTTCGCAGTAATGAGAAGATGAGCTAAGGAATAGGAAATCGATCGCCGGGCACGTGTACTGTTGCTTGTTACCGACCCTGTGTCATCCCGCCGATCATCTTCTCATTCCTGCGTACGTCTGCACACCTTCGGCATAGATTTGTAGCGAAAGTAACCGAACTTCTCGAAAGTCGATGCACCAGTGCGCGAAGATTTTCTCATCGAAAAACGGATCCTTTGGAGATATCTTATTGCATTCGGATCGTTGTGACGCGAGCTGTGACACTTGGAAGCCGAGCTTCGCTGTTGCTTTCGAGGCGAATAAATAAATCGCGGTGTTGCGCCGTGTTTTCATGTTTCCACGAATATTTACGAAAGTACGTAGAAAAGTTATCCGACGCATTATCGGTTGATCGTGGTGTTCGCTAAATTTCCGGAAGCAACGTATTTCGCGAAAGCGTGCAAACTCTTCTCGAAAACATGCGCACCATCCGGTGCACGTTCGAAGAAGTCCGGTTACTTCGGTAAAACAACGAGTTCTCTTCTCAGCGTCGCTGGACTTCGGCAACCCCCGTGTTACATTTACAAATCGTTAAGCTCGCGTACGTGTGTTTCTCGCGTGGTCGAGTTCGAAGCAGCCTCGTTTCTTGTCGATAAAAAAACCGTCGTTACCCTGAATTGTGTTCCTTAATTTGTACCCTGGGTTGAATTGTTGCTGGACAAGGAGTAGAGTATCCGGTGATAGAGGGTCAAGATTGAAGAATCGTTCACGGAGGGTCGATAATCGTTTGTGGGGGCGGAAAGAGATCGCACGGGAGCGGAAAAATGGCGGCGCGTCGCGTCCTTTTTTCTCTCTTCTCGCCGAGACACGCGACTAATTAGCCCCGCGAGTGGTACGACAGGTTCAAAGAATGAAAAAACGGTGTGCTTTCTCGCCGATGCTCTCTCTCTCTCTCTCTCTCTCTCTCTCTCTCTCTCTCTCTCTCTTTCTCGTCGTATCGCTCTCACTCCCTCCCACTCTCTCCCGCCCTTTCTCTCTCTGCCCCGCCGCCCTTAAGTGCCGAACATATGTAGCACATGTACGTGATTCCATATATATTTATAATATATATATATTTTTTTGTTTCCTTTTATATTCATATATATATGTATATTTATATATTTGCATGTATAATTAGTTTAATCCTCCTCCCTCGTCCGTGGTAACTATCTATAATATTATCTACAGGGCAGTAGCCAAACGCTGTGCCTGACTGTGCGACTTGGTTTTGTCATCGTTCATTTTGCAGCATGTTTTCTTATTCTCCACACCCACACGTATAGGGCGATCGACTCGCGACGATGCGCGCTCGTCGATCTCGTTTTGGTTCGCGTAGCTTCTCCCTCTCGTTTCTTTTCCTTCCTTTCGATTTCTTTTGCAATCGATCGAGTTCGATCTTCCCGAGCGTCGGCGATCGACGAGCTTCGTGCGAGTTTCGGGCCAGCGACCCCTGTCCCCAGTCTCATTCTCTGTTCACGGAAAAATCACCGATTAAAATAATCCCGACTAGAAGGAAATTGGCACAAAGTGAACGAAAAACGTTCCGGCCGTTCGCAGAAAGTCGTCCGATATATGCTCCTTCGATCGACGAGTATGGCGAAAGCGTTATCTTAACTATGAAATGAGGAAACTTCGATAAGGAACTCTTCTTCGTCATTGTGAAGAATTTGTCATTCGCGTTTATAACAGAGGATAATTGAACACATCTGTTTACAAAATAGTAGATCCTTCTTAACCCTGCCGCGGTCGCAACAGAATGTATTTCTTAAAAACAGGAGGACGCGAGAAGATATCGGTAGATCGATTAAATTCGACCGCCGCAGGGTTAACGCTTACTATTTTTTTTTATAGTAAAGTGACTCGTTAAGATCGTGGACCGACGATGCTTGTCGATTCAAGGAGCTCGATGAATGTTCAAAGGAAACCCGCATCCCTTTCTGCTACGCATCGGTAAAACGTGACTCCGTTAGGGAGGTTGACGAGCTTCTGCCTTCGACTCTGTAAAATTGTGCGGATGTGTAATAGCAAACGAGACACCGGGCACGTGGCAAGTCGTGTGCGCGCGTTCACGAATGCGTGATCCTTTTGTGCGGTCGTTGCACGGTCTCCGGGTTCGTTTCGATCGTTTTCCGATTCGGTTTCCAAATCGGTTCGCGACAATCGTTTGCGCGCTCCCCGCTGTCTTTAATACAAATGGAAGTGAAGATAAAATAATCTACGTTTCTCTGTCGTTCTGCGGGAACGTGGCATTTCAAATTTCCCCACGAAATTGAATCATGACTAGACTGCGGAAATGAAAAAATGTCCTTCCCTCTTCGGTCAAAAACTAAACTTCCATCGTGTTAAAGAACCTATAATAAATGCACGAAGCTCCGCGGCCGAATCGCGGCGATGTTTCGTGAACGACGGTGAATCGTTTAATTGCTGAGTAACTGGTTTGTTCGCCGGGAAACAGCTGGCGCCGCGACGTTTCCACGTCGTGCCGACAAAATGGCGGCTGCTCGGATCTCGGAAGTGGTTCGAACTCGTGGCCCGATTGAGCATCCCCTGCTTAGGCCATGTCCCCTTTCATCGACGACATCGTCCTCGACCGATGCTGACTAGATCATACCCATTGTCGTCCCATTCTTCGTGTTTCTCTACCTTGGTCGTCGAAGTAGTCGTTCGTTACTTGGTGTGTCTCGCTGGCAGTAACTCGGTGTACGCCGTCCGGAGCTGGCCGGTGCCCTTCGTTCACCGTGGCGAATTACTTGAAACGGAAGTTGAGCGTCGCGACGTGGCCCGGCGTCGTCGAGGAAGATCATCCTCTCGAGCTCTGTCTCCATCTCCTGTACACCAACGTCTCGCGATACGTCCCCCATGAACCGACTACACGGAACTGAACCTTGAACATTAACCCCTTCAAGACTGACCAAATGTTTCGGAACGGAGATCGTTCTCGCAGATCTTTCTCGGATCTCCTTCAAGACGCGTTGCATCTCGATTCATGCACCATACTGTCGGTCATTGTACGAATACATGCTTGTAAGTCTGCATTGTTTTGTTTCAGAGAGACGATACTAAACTAGAAACAGTCCTTTTAAATGCATAAACGACATTCGACGATCTCTTACAACCCTTCGAACAGAATGAACAACATAGTTTCTAAGTAGACCGCGGGTTTTTCTATACAAAATAAAAGTTGTCCACCTCGATTGCAACGAACCAAAAGTAAAACAGTGTAACAGCGTTCTTAAAGTCTTTTAATCTTTCCGCTGTTTTATGCTCCGCCTGCGCACTTCTGCGATAAATGCATCAAATCCACAGTCTATTTATTCACAGTCCGTCTTGAAAAGATTAAAGTATAAATCCCTCGCATCCAAAGATTTCGCACGCCGCTGCTCCGAAACGGTTTGAAGGATGATTTAAACGGTTCCGTCGACGCTCGACGATCGATCGATTCGTCTCGACCAGAGCCCGCCACGAATTCGCCTCGGCTTTCCGACAATTCGCCGCGAGGTTCGGAAGATTGAAGGTCCATCGGGCAAACACGTTGCAGACGAAACTCCACGTCGCATCCTAGAAAAAGTCACCCCCTATTCTCGTGGTCCCGTTGCAGTAATCGCGATTGTAACGAAACGAGGGTGCTTCCGCGATCAATTTAACACCCGGCGATCGCCCGCGGCCGCTTTGGACGCGGTATAACAAATAAGACCGAGCGGAAACGGGACCCTTTTCCCGCGGAAACGGCTCGACTCGTTCCTGGCTTGGGGGAAACGATCGGGAAAGGAGTCCCTTCTCGCGCGCAGGAGTTTCGTGTGCAAGGTCACGACGTCTCGACGCTCTCCGTCGATCTCCGTATACTAACGATCGATTCGATCGATGAGATTCGTTCCCGCTGATGAATATTGCTTCTGTCGTGTCGGCCGCTGTTTCGAGCGTCCCTCGAGAGGGACTTCCGATCTCGAGACGCTCGCGAGCCACGGGAAATCGGGCCGCGAATTACTGTGCGGCAATCCTCGTGTGAAGCAGCATTTCTTTTAATAGGTCACTGACAGTGCAACTTCATGGAAAAATTCAACGAACGCGTGGACTGTCAAATATTGAACGATCTTCGTGAACGAAATTGAACGAATTCGGATTTCCAACTCTTTAACCCATAGACTATCATCGGCGTCTATAGGCGCCCTGAACATTTGCTTACGATGTACCGATGGCGCCTATCGGCGTCCAGCAAACTTGAGCAAATTTTTGTCGCCTACGAGCGACCGGCAAATTTGATCAGAAGTTATTATTATTTGTATCAGATCAAGCATTCGTTACGGCTGATCGTTTTAGCGATTCTGCTGATATCTTCCGTCGCTCTTTTTGTACATTTAAAAGCTCGGTCTTACTTGCGCTCTATGGCGTCTATAAAATTAATTTATCGAATTCAGATAATAGCGATTTATTTCGTTACTTTAGGCATTGTATTTCTATATTCTGACTCATTCTATCGCAGTGAGTTCTATTTGTTATCATTTGNAATCCCTCGCATCCAAAGATTTCGCACGCCGCTGCTCCGAAACGGTTTGAAGGATGATTTAAACGGTTCCGTCGACGCTCGACGATCGATCGATTCGTCTCGACCAGAGCCCGCCACGAATTCGCCTCGGCTTTCCGACAATTCGCCGCGAGGTTCGGAAGATTGAAGGTCCATCGGGCAAACACGTTGCAGACGAAACTCCACGTCGCATCCTAGAAAAAGTCACCCCCTATTCTCGTGGTCCCGTTGCAGTAATCGCGATTGTAACGAAACGAGGGTGCTTCCGCGATCAATTTAACACCCGGCGATCGCCCGCGGCCGCTTTGGACGCGGTATAACAAATAAGACCGAGCGGAAACGGGACCCTTTTCCCGCGGAAACGGCTCGACTCGTTCCTGGCTTGGGGGAAACGATCGGGAAAGGAGTCCCTTCTCGCGCGCAGGAGTTTCGTGTGCAAGGTCACGACGTCTCGACGCTCTCCGTCGATCTCCGTATACTAACGATCGATTCGATCGATGAGATTCGTTCCCGCTGATGAATATTGCTTCTGTCGTGTCGGCCGCTGTTTCGAGCGTCCCTCGAGAGGGACTTCCGATCTCGAGACGCTCGCGAGCCACGGGAAATCGGGCCGCGAATTACTGTGCGGCAATCCTCGTGTGAAGCAGCATTTCTTTTAATAGGTCACTGACAGTGCAACTTCATGGAAAAATTCAACGAACGCGTGGACTGTCAAATATTGAACGATCTTCGTGAACGAAATTGAACGAATTCGGATTTCCAACTCTTTAACCCATAGACTATCATCGGCGTCTATAGGCGCCCTGAACATTTGCTTACGATGTACCGATGGCGCCTATCGGCGTCCAGCAAACTTGAGCAAATTTTTGTCGCCTACGAGCGACCGGCAAATTTGATCAGAAGTTATTATTATTTGTATCAGATCAAGCATTCGTTACGGCTGATCGTTTTAGCGATTCTGCTGATATCTTCCGTCGCTCTTTTTGTACATTTAAAAGCTCGGTCTTACTTGCGCTCTATGGCGTCTATAAAATTAATTTATCGAATTCAGATAATAGCGATTTATTTCGTTACTTTAGGCATTGTATTTCTATATTCTGACTCATTCTATCGCAGTGAGTTCTATTTGTTATCATTTGTAACTTTGCTCTTCCTTGCTGTGCGACAATTATTGCTTACTATTTTTACCATGTGACGCAAAGGAGTCGTCCCGCTCGGTTATTGAAAATACAAATAAATAAAATTATTCACGAACGTATGTAACACGGTTCAGTGTCTCGACCACATCAACGAGCTATCGTATGCTGCACGCACAGTACACACGTGTCAAAATCTGTCGTAGCCAAAGGGTTAAAGAGTCCGAATAAAACTCATTCGATTCTAGTACAAACGAATTCTAAATCTAGATAAAAATTGCAGCGTTCCACACGAGGATGAATTGTAGCTTTCGAGCGAAATAAAAAAACGGAAAGAACGATCGAAAAACATCGAGCAACAGAACAGAACCATCAATTCAGAAGTCCCTTTCGTTTGGACGATCGTGCCCTCGAGTTCCCGTGGCTCGATTACATCGTGGATCCTCGACAATCGTCCCGCGAGACCTCCTTCGACGATGAAACGGAGGGGGGGGGGGGGCACGCTGAAAGAGAGCGAGAAAGAGAGGAGAAAAATATCGGTGGGGTCGGAAGGCTCGAGAGAAGTAGAGAGAAAGATCGTTTGAGCGGAAAAGAGAGAGAGAAAGAGAGAGAGGGGGAGAGAGAGAGAGAGAGTGAGTGAGAGAGAGCGGTCGCGACAAGCCGGGAGAAAGAGAGAGATGATCGGCGACGATCAGTCGTAAGACACTCGGACGATGAACTTAGGAACTTCCGTGACGGACGAACGTCATCCCCGACCGACCCTTGCTTGTCCCGATCTTTTTCGACCCGCGTGTGCCCGAGTATCCTGGAAGAAAGAGTCGGCGTCGATCCTCGAGATTGCAAGCCGTTCGCGTTCCGATCCTCTTTCCCGGTCGCCTCCTCGATCCTATCCTTGTGCGACGATTCCTCTCTGGTTCTCTTTTCTTTGTTTTTCGTTTTTCCGGTTTTCTGTTTTTTTTTCTTTTTAAATAATTCAGTCCATCGTCAAGTTCGTGCGTCACGTTCGCAGACGCGGCGAGCGTGTTCACATGGCCCCGATGTGGCGTCGCGTGGAAGAGCGAGTCGCTAGCGAGCATCTTCCTCTTTGTCACCGAGGCCCCCGACCGGTCCCCGTCAGCGGGAACCGCTTGAAATGGGGGCCTTGCTTCGCGACAGAGGGATGTCCCGGTTATCCGGATGTCGGTGGTTCCGGGCCGTGGATCGTCGGTGGTCCCCGATCCAGGCCCGATCGTCTATGATCGCCGATGCCTCCTGCTGGGTCTCTCGTCATCGGCCAACGTTTCAAACGCGGTCCCCGATCGAAGCGTTCAACGATCGAAGGACGACGCTCTGGAGACGGAGGGTGTTGGTCCGCTGCCACCCCGATTACGTGGTGCCCTTCTTCCCCTTCGATTTGCCGGTCCCGTGCTCCTCGTTGCTCGCCGCGGCCGACTTGTTGTCCAGTCTGGCCACCCGCCGGTAGATATCGCTGTTCACGAAACGAGGGTACGAGTCCCGCTGCATCAGCGTGTAGATCTGCAGCTGGGCCTCGTCGAAGGTGTGCGGGGTCGGCTCCACCATGTTGTTGTTCACTATCTCGCGCACCTGAGCGTCCAGGCTCACCTGAAGCCGACAGTTCCGTTTAGAAACCACTATCTGTCATTCTACTTTTCAACCTAGCAGGGATCGAAGCAGGATTTTTTGGGAATTTATTGGCGGCTGGGTTGCAGGTGCGATTTCTATCTAATAAGCTGATCTATCGATGGCCATCGGTATAATTTAAAGGTTGAACCGTTTGGAAGGAAGAGTTGAATTCTATATGAGTTGAAATAATGGGGACCAAACTTTGAAAACATATTTTAACCGTTTATCACATTTCAGCGAGTGTAACTGGTGAGAGAAATTTTTGTCAAGCCTATTTTGAAGAAATCTGTTCTAGACGCGACATTAAAAACAAATACAGAAAATAGAAATATAGAAAATAATAAATAAATCCTTTCTATGACGTTCTTTTGTTACTACTGAACCTTTAACAGAGTCATCATAGAATTATCGCGAATTATCTCGTGTTTGTCAGCCGACATGTTAAGCATTCGAGTAAATGTAGGTACAAAATAATTACACAGGGTGAACCACGCAGCTTGTGTACCTCTTATAACTTCTAAAATATGTGTCGCACGAGAACATTTTGTACACACAATATGTAGTGAATTAATTTTTTCTATAAGTGGAGGTGTTTCGGAGATTTGAAGATCAACTTCGTTTTTCTTTCGATAGATTACTATATTTTATTTATTGACTTTTATTAGACCTAAACCTGATAGCTAACGAGTGATTTCACTTTATTTCTTGACAATTTTTTTCACATAGTATCAAGTTGGAGATTCAACCTTGTCACAAATTTACGCAGGTCAGCGAAAAGTGATGAAAATGTTCCAAAAATAAAGTTAAATTACTTGTTAACTATTAGGTTTAGGGCTAATAAAGGTCAATACTTATTTACTCAGAATTCGATATTCATCCATATTTTGATGTAAAAAATATAGTAATCTATATAAAAAAACAAAGTTGATCAATAATGTGCTCCTCTCAAATAGTAATCTCAAATAATGTGCTCCTTCATGCATCTTTTGTACAAAAAAACTTTTCATGCAACGCATATTTTGGAAGTAACAAGAGGCGCACAAGTTGCGTGTTCCGCCCTGTACATATTCTTTCTCTTCTAAAAGAAATGATTACAGTCGAAAAACTCCTAATCATTATAACTGCGAAGAGCATTGTACGGCAAGGGGTTAGCGAAAACGAAGAAACAGGTTTTAATAAACGCCGGTTAAAAGAGCTCTAGTCAAAGAATGAACGAGCAGAATTGAAAAGAAAGGAGGTAAAGTTTCGCAGTAATCAAGGATCCGGCACGAAAAGCACGGGAGCCTTGGAGAAGAATTAAAGAAATGAATTAAATGGAGTCGGGCTAAGGGAAAAGAAGTCGAAAGAAACGTCGACTCGAGGAAAAGAATCGAGGGGTTAACAAAGCAACGCGAGGATCAAAGGGAAGTGTAGCAAGCCTGGCATCGACCGAGGTTAAGGATGAAGAAAGCAAAGAGGGGGATCGATTCGGTTGAAGGATCAAGAACGGCGATCAAAGAGACGACAAATGTCACTCACTTCCTTCGACGAGTCTTCGGATATGTACTCCTTGTAGATGAACTCCGCTTCCTTCTTGATCCTCTCAGGATTGCTCTCCCGCTTGAAATCCTCGCACGCCGTCCAGAACGCGATGTTCTCCTCGCTGAACTCGCTCCTGAGGAACGCCCTGAACAGTTTGCGGCCGGCCGTGCTTCTCATCAGCTTCTCGAACGAGGAGCCCCACATCCTGATCTCCTCCAGGCTGCTCTCCATGGTGTCCTCGAGGCCGTTCCCCGCACCCGCGTGCTCGACGACGCCGCTGCCGTGCTCGCCGCCGACGCCCGCGTTACCTTTCTTCTTCCCCTGGTCGCCTGCGCCCTCTGCACCCGCCGAATTGCCGCCGATCGCCGTCAAACTGTCGACAAAACCACGTCTTTTAGTGTTTATTTCGTCGGTCTCCTCCTTCGCTGGCTTTCGGAACGGTGATCGAGAACATGGCGTCTGTGAGATCGATAAGGATAGCATTTTGATGTTTCAAACGAGACGCGATGAAGGTACATATTGGCTCAGTGAAGTCTAGAGAAATTTACATCCCAGTTTCGCGAGACGTCGCGACCTATTTTTTCTCGAATTTGTCCAATTTCGATTTTATTAGACTGCGGATCTTTATGCAGACTGAAAATATTCTAAGCAACGAGCAGGTGGTTAATCTTCCCTAAGGAAACAATACTTCTGTTTAGGATATTCGTTACTAGAAATAATAAAGTAGAAATTTTAATCAAATCAATTCTAAAATTTGACAATGGTATCGGATACACCAAGAAGTCGTTGCAGGACTGAAATTTTTCCCCATTTTCGTTTCTCGAAGTCGACTTCGAAAAATTGTGCATCTAGTTTCTGCGGATCTTTGTAAAGTAGAAACTTCAATCTGCAATCCTGAATGAGAGATTCGCAGAGGTACCCCAGTGATCGATACACGCCGATTTTACTGAAACTTTGCACAAGTGTTTTGCAACAGCTATCTAAAAATATTTGAAATAAAGCCGATATCATATCTTTGGCCTGTAAACCTCTGATTTTCTCGAGGAAGCCATATGCGTTCTCATCTTCGTGAAAACAGGATTTCTGTCGAAAATATTTTTGCACAGATTTGTGGGACCAGCGATACGGCACAACTTTTATTTCAACTACCTTTGCATGTCATTTGTCGTTTATCATTTTTCATTGATAAGCACTGAACGTGGAACGTTCGGTTCGTAGAACAGCGTCGATTTCACCGTTAAATTAAAAAAAAAAAGAAAACAAGCGTGAACGAAACGCAGCTACATTCTTAGGTTAGCCTAACGAACGTTTGTGCAAAGTGTCAGTCAGCAGAGTTTTCTTGTCAGTCGCGACACAAATTTCACAACATTTGTAGAGACATTTTTCCGAAAACTGAACGTTTCAGCGAAGTCGCTGTGTTTCATATCGAAACGAGGAAAGTTTCGCAATGTTCGCGGCCATAGTTCGTACTCACGAACTATCAAGGTCGACCCAGCGACGTCCAGGAACTGCGGTTCCAGCCTGGATTCGTTTTATCCGTTGGAATTGTATCAAAACCACCCCCGATATCGTCCCGCGAGGGGAACACGGACGGAAACTGTCCACGTTATCGCAGCCGAATAGCGGCGGGAGAAAAGAGACGACGAAGAAGAAAACCGACCGAACAAAGAGCGACTCTCGTTTGACGCGCCGCTACGGAGGGAGTCCCGTACCGCCGACAATGCCGAGGTCGATATAAACTGGAAACGAGCGAGCGCACGTCCGTCGCGCGGCGAACGAAGCACGGAGTGCGGGCTCGCAGGTTTTCTTCGCTTTCCGACGATTATCCTGGAAACTTTCTAGTTTCGTTTCTGCAAACAACCGACCGGGACGATAACGTTGGGAATGGTGGATAGAGCGTGCGGAGGAGAGACGCGCGGATAAATAAGCAGATAGCGGCAGCCGGAAAACCTTCGTTCCTCCCTCGCCGGGACAGATTTCCGCCGAGGGTGGACACGTGTTACGCATCCGGAAGGTTTTTTTTCCGCGGCGGTTACGAACGGGAGCGGTTATCGTCGGGAAATCTTTGTCGGCGGAAAGAGATTGGCCTCCTCCGACGTGAAATTGTTCCCGTGTTAATGGCCGAAGGGTGGTCTTCGTTCGCGGGGACGGTGGAAATCGCGCACCCCTTACGCCGAAAACTATGTCTATTCTATTCTTCGGAGACTTGCGATTTCTTTGATTTTGCTTAACTTTGAAAGGCTTGGACGTTGGATACTATGATCTGAGAGTTTTGGAAATTCGGATCGAATAATTGAAGGTTCTTCTTACAAAACTCGAATGGAATATCGGCACGATGTTTCGTGGAGTTTTTGTTGAATGTTGGACATTGTACTTCTGGTTTTGACAATGGACGAACCTTTTAAGGTTAAATTATATCAGTTCCATTTTTTTTATGTAGTTTTGTACAAGTTGATTGTTAATCCTTCAATAATTGTACAAGCTTGTAGGTGACAACGTTTAATGAGGGGAATTATGACGTGAATTATGCCACGAACGATGTTTTCCTTTCCCAGGAGAATGGGCTTTCTCCTAAACATAATTAGGGTAGTGGAGTTTAGGGTTAGTGCGGGGTGGCTTTGGTTTGTTTTCGGAAGTAATTAAAAAATAAATGAAACGGAAGAACGTCGCAGCGTGACGATCGAAGCTCCATTATTCGATGTATAAAAAGGAGGAAAAAATTGAAGCAGAAATTATATTGAAATATTGTTTAAAAATCAAAATAAAGCGTAGAATGTGAACATATAAAACATCAATTAAACGTCCATAGAGGAGAGACTCGATTCATCCAGGTATCAGGAAGCCCTCGAAACATTGCAGCAAACAGTCCGGAGGCCAATTACAGATTTCGGAAATAGTTGGATGCATGGATCCTCAACAACAATGGCGGAATGAAGTGGATAAATTCAGGTCGTTCTCTCGTTACGCGGGGAACCGTTATCGATCTTCCCCATGGCTGAAAAATGATATAAGAGACAATTCAGAATCTAGAACTCGATGCGTTAACAGCCCTCGAATAAATTCTACCACCCCCCACCCCCTGAATAATTCCGACCCGGAGGTCAAATTAGTAGCTCCTTTTCATCCCATATTGCGACGGTAAAGGGAAGGAAATGAAGATAACGAAGCTGAAAAAATTGGAAACCTTTGACCGAGTTGAAAACACGGTGAAACCCCAATTAAATTTTGTGAAAAATGATCCATCGCGGTTGACGAATGCAAATCAATTCCGAACGAATAAAGTCCGTAAACCGGAGGCAACATTTACGAATAAAATACTCGGTCGTCGGAATATATAAATACAAGAGAAATATCGGGACGCAAGCAACTCTCAAACTGTATACCATTGGCCAAGGCTGGTTCATATAAAAAGTTAAAAGCCTCTTTTCATCTAGCTTCGCGACGAAGGATGAAAGGAGGTACAAGTTGGCTCTGAAAGGAGCCCCTATAATATTCAGCATATTCGATTAAACCGAAAGCAAAATAAAACCTTCATAGAACTTCGTTCAAACAGTTGATCCGTATTTCACTAATTCAAAGCTGGGAAAATTCGTAACCTATTTACAAAACAATCTAGGTTGTAGTTATACTCTAAATGGTATTTTACTAACCCGACTCAATCATGTCACTGACCTCGGTATTACTATTACTTTCTCTTCAAGATCTATTCTGGGATACAGCGGTATCATTTGGTCTCCATACTATAAGTCACATTCGATGTTATTAATATGTGATTCAAGAGTGCAGCACAAACTTCGCTTTGCCGCTAGGCACAGACGTTGCCCCATGCTTTTTGACTCACATGCGTAACTTACGTGTACTTTACTTTACATGTACTTTAAACAAGTCATCATTGATATACGCTAATATAATTATTTAAAAATTCATGTAATCCTCTTGTTTACTCGCCAAGTTTGCAATATTTCAACGTAAATGTACTTGTAGTTACTAAGTTGGAAATATGCAATATTTACAGAAACAATAATTAGCAGCAATTGGCAGCCATGTTAAAGGTTGGAAATACTATTTTTTCTTAGTACCGAAGAGTTTTTGCCACGAATAAATGAATAAATAAATAACTAAAAAATATACAAATTGCGAAACACAGGAGCTTCATTTGTTCCTTTCGCACCGAATTCTTTAAATGTTTCTACTGTTGTGCAATGGATTATTTTCGTCACAAGTGCACAAGATCCGCAGACTAGTAATTATTCCGCAGATGTTTATTTTGAAAATCCAGCAGAGATGTCACGAGTAATTGCCAAACAATTTTGAACCCCTGCAATCAGGCTTGTGTTTACATGTAAGCACGGCTATCGCAGCACGCTGGAAGGGAGGAAGGAAGCGAAAGTTGACTGTAGATAATGAAATTCGAATTTCTCCCGGAGCGATAAGGTTTCCGCCGGTTGCAACCCCTATTCAGTAATCTCGATTCGGGGCACGACGATTAGGTGGCGATTAGGTGCGAGAGCAAGCTTCGGCGAAGCCCAGCCCCATACGGCCTGCTTACCATTTATTCCTACGCGCGGCATGAAACAGAGAAAGAGTGTACGTAGGTATGTCTGCTCGACGGTAAATAGGTCGTAGCTCCGTTTAAAGACAATGGACTGACATCGTTCCGCCGACGATTATATTACGAAACGGGGCGATAATGGCTTGTCACGCGGCAGGATACACGCGAGTTTATCGGCAGCCGGTTTCGAGGATCGATCGTCGTCGGATGTTCCCACTTTTTCACCGAGCCGAGAACGAACCTTTCAAACAGGCTCGTTCGTTCCTTCATTTTTTTTCTCTCTCTTTCATTCCCTCGCTATACTGTCCGTTGTCTTCGAACAGCTCGCGCTTATGGCTTACAGAACGCGTTCCCGAGGCGAACACGACGGAAGGGATCATTACCATCGGAGAAATTAACGTTCCCGGAGAACGCAATGGAGATCGCATTGCGACGAAACTTTGCACTATCGCATTGCGATGAAAGCCTGCCTGATTATTAGATTCGAATCCCTGGCGCTCGAAGTTATGTCACGTTACAAAATGTAATAATATAATAATGATAATATAATATCTGAGTCGTATAAATTAGAAATACTATAGGTCAGATAAACAATTTTGGATTTGGATGTAAAATGGCTTCGAGTGCAAAGGGTTAACCCCTTGGCATATTGAGTCGTTACAAAGATTTGAAAGCGACTCTGTTAACAGTTCTTTTCTTTCAAAATTCGAAATCGCATGCTATTCTTTCGGTACCGGTATTCAAATATTGCAAATATGATAAATATAAATTTTTCCTTTCTTGCTGAGAGACTGCGAAAAACAAAGTAGTTTTAATCATCGTAGACAGCCATAGGACAAGGGGTTAATTAAGGATGAGAATCGATGAATTTGCATCTCTTAAAACGGCCATTTTCCCTAACACTACGGCTTAACCGCGAATTATAATTGAATAATGGAGAAGTTGACCTGATCGATACACTGGCAACAGTGATAACTCAGTTATAAGTGAATATCTTATCTTGTAGAGATAGTATTATTCAAATTAAATTGCACCCATCTCTACCACGTAATAAGGACGCTAGAATTTCGTCGAATGCGACTATATAAGATCCTTGCTTTCCATTCAAATGGCTGGTTGCTAGTACTTGTTTAGTACTTACTTGTTTGGTACTCAAAGACTAAGCGACACATGTTTTTTTTTATATCTGAGGTAATTCGAATTAAACGTGTGAGAAACCTACCCCCAAAAGTTTAGCGTACGATGAGAATATTAGGAATTTCTCATGGAACGAAAACCTTGAATGCACGTTGTTATCAAAAGCAACAAAGAATTTCAAAGATGCAATAAAAACTTGGCACATGCTCAAACATTTCCCGATATTCTATATCCCATATCCCATATCCGATATTTCATATCCCATATACCATATCTCATATCCCATATACCATATCTCATATCCCATATACCATATCTCATATCCGATATCCGATATACGATATCCCGTATCCGATATCCCACATCCCATATCCGATATACGATATCCCATATCCCATATCCGATATCCCATATCCCATATCCCATATCCCGTATCCCGTATCCCATATTCCGTATCCCATATCCCGTATCCCGTATCCCGTATCCCATAACCCATATCCCATATCCCATATATCGTATCCCATATCCCATATCCCATATCCCGTATCCCATATCCCATATCCCGTATCCCGCATCCCGTATCCCGTATCCCATATCCCATATCCCGTATCCCATATCCCAAATCCCATATCACATATCCCGTATCCCGTATCCCATATCCGATATCCCGTATCCCATATTCGATATCCCATATCCGATATCCCATATCCCATATCCCATATCCCATATCCCACATCCGATATCCCGAATTCCATATCCCGTATCCCATATCCCATATCCCATATCCGATATCCCACATCCCATATCCCGTATCCCGTATCCCGTATCCCGTATCCCATATCTCATATCCCATATCCGATATCCCGTATCCCATATCCTATATTCCATTTCCAATATCTCATACCCTATATAACATATCCCAAAAGTAACAAACTGTTCGATGCAGCACTGGAAAGAAGGAATGTGAAATAAATAAATTGATGACTATGAAAAAAAATACTTTATATTGTAGTTTTGTTCAAATCGATTATTTCCCTTATGAATTCCTATATGAACATGTTCTTATTCGGATAAAACCTTGTTCGGATAAATTTTTATCTAAACAAATCTTTATTCGTTTGGATATTTATTCGATAGTGTCGAATAAAACTTTATTCGTCAGTCTTTATCTCTTATCCATCGAGCCAATAAAATTTTGCCATCTTTGAAACGAAAGAGTAGGTTAGCAACCGGCTATTCGAACGGAGACCAAGGGATCAGAAAAAATGCAAATAGACAGGAACGGTAATACCACAAGCAACTGCAGCACCAACACAGGCAACAGTTATCCTTCTTCGAGCGGCCCATGATTCCCGAGCCTTGGCGTTGCTGCTGTTGTTGCTGTTGCTGTGGTTGCTGTTGCTGCTGAGACGACGGCGCCTGCTGTTGCTGTTGCAACTGTTGTTGCTGCTGCGGCTGCTGTTGTTGCTGCTGCGGCTGTTGCTGTTGCTGTTGCTGCTGCTGGGACGACTGCTGCGGATTATTGTGCTGCGTCGAGGAGTCGGACGCAGGAGTCTGACCTTGGCTCTGGGCGCGCATCCGGCAACCACCGGCGACACCCTCGCCACCCCCGGTCCCGTGACTAACGCCGATCCCCATTGCAGGTGCACCGATTCCGCTCGACATCTGCAAACGAGATCGCGTCCAGTCAGTCAAACGTCCCTGCCCCCCTTTTGCTTCTCCGCTCCGAAAATAAGCACGGTTGAGCCGCGCAGCGGACACTCGACCTTAACCTTCGCGACCCGGTTTCCGCGGAGAACACGAGCCCGGCACTCCGGAGGGCTTCGATCGGCGACCTACGACCCGGTTGCGTCGAGATACTAGACACCAATCGCGTTGATCAGCAGTGGACTGGCGGGGGACACTGTTTAACCCTTACCTGAATTTTTAAAGCGATTTCTGTGGTAATCCAAAGTCTATCTTTGACCGTCGGAATAGCTCCAATCGACAGGAAACCGATCTTGGCGGAATTTAACAGATAAAAGTGGAGCACTTAGGTTGTGAAAGTTGAGTTTTGGCTTTTTAACACTTTGTCTGTCACGCGAACAACTTTAAAAATTTTTTGTAAAATTCAAGTGTAGTATTTAATAAAAAATCGAAATGTAAAGGCGTATGATATCAATTACTCTTGAAAATTTTTACGTTCTATAGATCCTAATGAAAAATTAAGAGGATACAATAGATCAGCTTAACCAGTTAGCTGCTTCTAACTAGTATAGTCATCATAATGAAATGGCTATATTTTGTGTTATGAAGAGTATGCATCATGCGTAAAAATTCACAGTTGAAATTACAATTTTAGTGGAGACTAAAATATATTCGTAAATTTTAGGATGTCTTGAATATTTGGTGTCCAAGATGAAATAAAACAAACAAAGAAATGTAAATAATTATTATAAAGAAATCGTATATGGTGTTTAGTTTAGGTAGTATACTCGGCATAGCTTCCTTTTTGCGACACATTTTAGCTATTAACTTTTCGAAAATGTCGCCACAGCTAACTGGTAAAAAGTTAATTCTCAAATCAGTCCAACTAATTCTGTCACTGTATGCGTAACGCGGCAACCAAAATGTTAAGAATTCTGTGTGTTCCAAGAATTTTGTGAAGCGGTTTATTGTTTTAAAAACTGGATTTACTACTGGATTTATAAAAGTATTGTACGTATCAAAATTATGTATTTTATATTAAGAAATCCAACTCTGCAAGCAGAATTCTACGTAAATTTATTCGTTCAAATAAAGTCGTATAAATTACCGATTAAATTGCTGTTTCTCACGACGTTTTTTCAAGAATCTGTATGTAAGTAAATGAGAAAGCTAGAAGTCAGAGATGCGAGTTGTATGAGAATATAAATGGCGACTACGCCTATTATCCCCAGTTAACAGGTTAAGGTCAATTGGACCTTAGCGCTCCGAAATTCCTTGACAAGCTACTAAGGTGAACGACCTTTCCACCGACCATCTAATTGCTTTATAATAAGCATTGTTTATCGAAATATACGGTCACCTTCGTCTATTATTATTATTATTCATTTTCATCGAACACTTTTCCAACCGAGATTACAAATGCAATTGAACGTTTATAACGAGCACACAGCGAAAACTACAATCGACCCACTTCTTCGTTGACCTACTTGCGCCGGCTGTGACATTTTCAAACTAGTTCAAAGAAACACACTATATCGCAATAAACAAAGTTTTTATTCATAGACTCGCGTCTTCATCAATTTTTGTTTATGTCAAAAGTAGGTTAGTGGAGCCGATTACCGTGGGATGATCAATTGGTTTGCTCTCGACGTACGAGACCTTAAATGGAACAAGAAATATTACAATTTGCTATTAAAAAAATAAACGTAATAAAAGAACAACAAAATTTAATATATCTTATTCGATGAATGTAAAGTTAAAATTGCGCCCGAAATAAGAGCAAACGGATTATTTGATTAAACGACCGACAACGAATTATTAAACAACCATAAACGACCAGGCTTCTTATGGAAAGACGAGCAGAGGTAAAGACAACATAATGGAAAACACGAAAACTGTGGGTGTTTCGCCAGGGTCGGAAAGTTTCGTGGCATAAACCAACACAGTGGTTCGCCAGCCGAAGCAACGGAACTTCGCAACATAAACTGAAGCTTCATTAAAAAAAAGCTGGGTAAACTTTGATAGTTAATGGCACCACATGCGCGCTAGCGTTGGTAACACGAAATCAGTTCGCGCGACTTATCAGTTCTCATTAACGGCCGAGAACTTTTCCTCCAGAGGATTCTAACTCGACGAAAGTGATCGGGGAACGAGAAATTAATGAACCGAGAAGTATTATCTGCATAAACGTATTCGGGCAACTTTTTTGCGCGTCCGCAAGAATCACGGCCGGAGTTTCGTTCAGAACACATTTCGGATGTTAATATTTCCTCGAGCTGGCGGCTTCATTTGCATCTTACGGTTTCTTGGCCCGCGATTAGAACGAGTTCCGAGAGACACGTAAATGACACCGCGATGTCCGCGCGATATGTTTAATCTTTCTGCTGGAAAAAATTGTCGGCTCAAGGGGACTCGGTGTCCGCGAACGGTGAAAACCGTCCACAAAGAAATTGGGACGCGATCCGATCTAGCGTGCATCGGGATCCAGATCGGCCACCGGCTTATTTGACCACTCGAAAAAAAAAAAAAAAAATATCACAGCCGATTCGTACACGGAAGCACGATAAAGTCGTTAAGCTCTAATTGAAACAAGCTGACCGTATGGTAATTGACACATAAGCTCTCAAAAGGCAGCCAATTAGTTTGGATATAGTATTGTCGCACGGTCAGCTGCACCTATCGATCCGCTCAGTGTTTTCGATGCTAACGCGGAAACAACGATACGGGAATGCAAAAGACTCGGCCGAAGAGATTTACCGTCCGCGTCACGCTCAAAGGGCGGAAGACAAAATGGCGCCCACTGCTGGTCTTTTTATATCCCATTATTTTAACATCGCCGCCTCCGGACTCGATATTTAAACCTGATCCGGATAATTTTAGACAAATTCAACTGCCGACACGAACGCGCGAACATTCCCGTTCCACTGAACATTAATTGCAAAACGGTTCGGCACAGTTTCAAATGTCGGCTTGTCTTCCGCGTACACAGATTTCCAATGATTTCATCGAAATGTTTCTTTCAACTCTTCGCGGTTTTACTGGTTCGATCGTTTCTCAGAAATGTCAGGAATAATAGTCGCACGAAGAAAGCAATGTTTTAATTCTCGCTCACGGTTCGAAGCAAATTGAACGTTTATTATTTCGATTCGACTGTAATTAACATCCGATTCTCGAAAAGATCTAAATTCTTCGTCCTCGTCCAACCTTCATTTTTCTGCCTTGTCAAATGTCCCTTGTCAAATCGACACGTTAATTAAATATCAGCATGATGGAAAGGGCGATAATTAACTTCGTAAATTCAATCTCTGGAAACACGATAACTGCAGCGCATTTAGACGCATTCGGGTATGTTTCAAACGAAATGCGATAATAAAACGATCTACGGCACGTAATATTTCTTCGGCTCAAACTGCTGTAATTAATTTATATATTATAGTAAGAGAAATTGTTAGATTTTAGCATGAAAGTTGCTAAATTTTGCTGTTCAAAAGCAACGATCTATTTTTCGATTAAATCGATCCAATCACGAGGAACGGATCAACCGAAAGTCCACTCTCAGGGGTGTATCGGCGGAGCTCTTCTCCCTAACAAAATTTATTTAAACAATGCGCTAGTGATTGTGTTTATTGTGTAATTGCCAGATAATTGCGATCCGGTAAAGGATCCACGAGGTTCCAATAAGCAAAGCGTCGCGCATACACAGCCATCTCTCTTCCTCTCCCTTCATCTCTCTCTCTCTCTCTCTCTCTCTCTCTCTTTTCTTCTCTCGCTAGCTCGCTCTCTAGGGGGCCGTTTCTCCCTGACAAAATTTATTTAAGAAAAACAATGCGCTAATGATTGTGTTTATTGTGTAATTGCCAGATAATTGCGATCCGGTAAAGGATCCACGAGGTTCCAATAAGCAAAGCATCGCGCATGCACAGCCTATCTCTCTTCCTCTCCCTTCATCTCTCTCTCTCTCTCTCTCTCTCTCTTTTCTTCTCTCGCTAGCTCGCTCTCTAGGGGGCCGCTTCTCCCTGACAAAATTTATTTAAGAAGAACAATGCGCTAGTGATTGTGTTTATTGTGTAATTACCAAATGATTGCGATCCGGTAAAGGAACCTCGTGGATCGAGGTTCCAATAAGCAAAGCGTCGCGCATGCACAGCCTATCTCTCTTCCTCTCCCTTCATCTCTCTCTCTCTTTTTCTCGCTCTCTCTCTCTCTCTTTTCTTCTCTCTCTAGCTCGCTCTCTGGGGGGCCGCTTTATTTTTACGCCACGGTGTACATCGATGATCTGCTCAGGCTTCGCACGATAACGACCACACTCGAGAGTCGCTAATACAGGCTGTGGGCAGCGATTGATAAACAGCAGACTTTCGCAGAGATCCGCGAGCCGCACGTGTGTGCGTCCAGATGGAAGTTATTACTCGACTCCATTGTCAACAACGCGAATCGCAATTTCGAGTTCCCTCGGAACAATGGACCGTNAAAACAATGCGCTAATGATTGTGTTTATTGTGTAATTGCCAGATAATTGCGATCCGGTAAAGGATCCACGAGGTTCCAATAAGCAAAGCATCGCGCATGCACAGCCTATCTCTCTTCCTCTCCCTTCATCTCTCTCTCTCTTTTTCTCGCTCTCTCTCTCTCTCTTTTCTTCTCTCTCTAGCTCGCTCTCTGGGGGGCCGCTTTATTTTTACGCCACGGTGTACATCGATGATCTGCTCAGGCTTCGCACGATAACGACCACACTCGAGAGTCGCTAATACAGGCTGTGGGCAGCGATTGATAAACAGCAGACTTTCGCAGAGATCCGCGAGCCGCACGTGTGTGCGTCCAGATGGAAGTTATTACTCGACTCCATTGTCAACAACGCGAATCGCAATTTCGAGTTCCCTCGGAACAATGGACCGTCCATGAATATTCCAAAAACCGGGCGGTTCAATCTGAAAGCGTTCCGCGAGAAAATATATCCGGAGGGTCGGGAACAATAAATAATTTTCTAGAATGCTTCCCAAACACTTTCGGGAGAACCGTCCTTCTATTTCTCGTTATAGAGTAAATAACGTCCGGATGAAATAATGGAGTAAATAATATTTTCATTGGATTGTTTATGGAGACGTTATAGACAATTTATAACGGCGGCGGGTTTTGAAAACGTTTAGAGAATATTCCGTGGGAAAATAAATCGGAGAAAATTCAGATGCTTCTGGAACATTTGTTTATTGTTCAAATAAATGTTCTAATATTCGTATGGTTGGTGACCGATTAGAGAGCGGCCCAGATTTTCGGCACGAGAACACTTCTCGACATTTCGCCGGCGCGTGTTCTTAATATTCTCACGAATACACGTCGGACCAGGTATCGGGAACGGAGGCCGAGGCGTCGAAAATGCACGGAAGCGGGGAATTTCTAATGGAAAAGAAACAGCGAAGATTATTAAAGGAAATATTGTTTGAAATCGGGTGTTTACATAAGCGAGGCTCGCCGTGGCTGTTCGAATTTCTCGGGTGCCGGCACATTTTCAAAAATACTTCGCCGCGCGAAGCGATTTCAGATCAGCTCGCAGCCACGTTTCCCATTAAGAAAAGGCTGCGTAGTCTCGTATAAAAACACAATCGAACGACAACAGAGCGATAACGAAAAGAAAATATATGTCTCGGAGATGTATCTCTTCGTGAAAACGTGAATTCCGCGAGACCGGCGTGAAACGATGGGAACGCGTCGAGAGCCGTAACAACCGTCGCGACTATTGCATTCGAACAGCGATCGCCGCGAAATTGCATTTAACAAAATAATATTTACCGGACGATACGGGAAGCGTAACAGATACAAGATGGACGAGGCATCTCCCGGCACTGAATCAGCCCGCAACCGTTGGAGCCGCGCCAAAAAGTGCATTCGCACAATGTTTACATTCCCCCGGCGGAATATAAAAATATTTTCCGCACCGAAATACCAGCATCGGGAGGAGAATCGAGCGAAAAACAGCGAAAGGAAAAATGGCGCATCGTCGCGGCGACGCGACTTGTCGCGAAGCGGCGCCTCCGCTATTTTTATAAATCGCCGGGCCGTCAGGCTATCATTGTACTTAACGCGCGCGTTTCGAATCGCGCCACTTGTGTTCTAATTATGCAACGCTCCTACCGGACACTTGTTGACGCGTGCCGAACGGCACCGAACTCGAATCCCGGTTCGAACGTTTCTCGAAACCGAAGGACCGCTCGTTATCGACGCCAATGCGTATCGGTGGATCGACCCCATCATCGGCGCGGCGCGTTGCTCAATTGGCGAGCACGTGTGCCGCATGAGGAATGCGGCTTCCTAAATTTGTTTCGACGCGGTGCGCGTGTATTCGCGCGAGCCAGTCCCGATTTTTGTGTATTTTTCCCCGGTCGTTAACGGCGGAATCACTTCGACTCGCGCGCGCACACCCGAGCGTATCTCTCTGTAAATGAAATTCCTCCGATCGATTCTAGTACGCTGTTCGAGATACGGCCGCCACCGCCGTCGCCGCCGCCGCCGCCGCGTTCCTATCCTCGGTCTGGTAATTATAGCGACATTCAAACCGAAGTTTGATTCATGCTCTTGGACTTGCGGAAAGCCGGAAGAACGAACGGCCTGAGAGAAACGTCGAGACGAGAAAGAGATGTTCCAAATATTCGAACGTTGATCTCTGTTTAAGTTTTTATTGCCGGCTCGATTTTTGCAATCACAAATGATTCGGTCATTGAGAGACATGATAAATGCTCGAATGAAAAGGTATTCGACTATTTTATTCGGCGTCGAATAAATTAATAATTCAAAGATTCATCGATTCGAAATGATTGATGTGGCTGTTTGTCGATGTAACTATTGTTTCCGATGCGACAAACCTGGAAGTCGATGTAGATTTTGGAAATTGTTTTTCTGGTGCTTTCTGATACGTAAATGTATTGTTTGAAGATATTTTATTGTTTCAATAGACAAATCGTGTACATATTGTGAAAACAAAATATCTCAGGGACACAAATAAATATGTATCTAAATCTGAAACTCGAGTAGTGCAAATTTTGCGTTGCTTATGTCAACTTTATGGAATAAAATTGTCAATGCAAAATCCAACTGGAGGCAGGATAAGAATTTGCTTAAATCGGGTACACAAGTTCGTGATACTATGGCTACATTTTCCAAAATTTCGACTTCATCCCGTATTGTTACTTGCGCGGTAAAAGCTGTGTTTTCGACGATAATGTACTATAAAAAGCGATTGTTTCCAAGATCGAATTGAAAAGCACCGAAGTATACACAAGTTTGTCCAACTAATTGACACGATGGAATCGACCACGTTGTTCGTATAAGCGCAACACTATTCTACGATCAGAACGTAGAAGAAATTGTTATGATGACGTATTCAAACAGACTAAAATATGCCAAGATTTATTATATGCAGGAGAATGATCACATCTAACTTTTCCATTTCCGTTTTCTTACCCAATTAGTTATTGCAATCTTTTTGTGAATTGCGCAAGTTACTGTAACTCTACCGTATATGTCTTATTTCCTTCATATTTTGTTTAAATACGATATTTTCATAAAATACTTTATTTTATAAGTATTGCTATTAGTAATAATAATAAAATACTATTAATAATACCAATATATAATAATTAATAGTAATACTAATTACTTATATTGTAAGTATTATTATTATACTTTATAAGTATATCTCCTTTTTAACCAGTAAGCTATTTTTGACGAGTGAACCTCGTTACAACACAAAATATTGTCATTTCTTAAAAATAGCTAACTGGTTAATTAAACTATTCAGAAGATGCGGGATTTTTCGGGATTGCGATATGGTGGTAATCGGAGTGTTAAGACGCGAAGCTGTAATATCTTCTAAAGGAAAATGTGCGTGACGGAACATCCTGGCCAAAAACCACGATAGCATCTCGAGTGGTCCAAGGTTCGAGGCACGATCCAAGGCACCCCATCCCCCACCGCCTCGCGTTCGATCGCCGCGAGTAGATCGCGCGGAAGGTCTGGCAGTTTCGGCGCGTGTCAGTCGCGCTTCGTCCGTGCCGAATATAAATCCCGGTTGGATCAACAGGCTCCGTGTGCGACTAGCTAGCAGGCGTCTAACCCAAATCCACGGTTCACCGAAGCCTTCCAGCTGTTCTGGTTCGGCGTGTCTCGAAGGCGGCGATAGCGTATGTCCGAATTGCGGCTAAAAGCGTCGCTTTCGCATCGGGAAACGAGGAAGAGTGAGCGAGAACGAGCGANTAATAATAAAATACTATTAATAATACCAATATATAATAATTAATAGTAATACTAATTACTTATATTGTAAGTATTATTATTATACTTTATAAGTATATCTCCTTTTTAACCAGTAAGCTATTTTTGACGAGTGAACCTCGTTACAACACAAAATATTGTCATTTCTTAAAAATAGCTAACTGGTTAATTAAACTATTCAGAAGATGCGGGATTTTTCGGGATTGCGATATGGTGGTAATCGGAGTGTTAAGACGCGAAGCTGTAATATCTTCTAAAGGAAAATGTGCGTGACGGAACATCCTGGCCAAAAACCACGATAGCATCTCGAGTGGTCCAAGGTTCGAGGCACGATCCAAGGCACCCCATCCCCCACCGCCTCGCGTTCGATCGCCGCGAGTAGATCGCGCGGAAGGTCTGGCAGTTTCGGCGCGTGTCAGTCGCGCTTCGTCCGTGCCGAATATAAATCCCGGTTGGATCAACAGGCTCCGTGTGCGACTAGCTAGCAGGCGTCTAACCCAAATCCACGGTTCACCGAAGCCTTCCAGCTGTTCTGGTTCGGCGTGTCTCGAAGGCGGCGATAGCGTATGTCCGAATTGCGGCTAAAAGCGTCGCTTTCGCATCGGGAAACGAGGAAGAGTGAGCGAGAACGAGCGAGAGAGAGAGAGAGAGCGGGAGAGAGGGAGAGAGAGAAAGATAGGGAGCGAGAGAAAGAAAAAGAAAGAGGGCGGGGGAGAGTGAGTGAGTGAGTAAGAGAGAGAGAGGGAGAGAGAGAGAGACAGAGAGAGCGGGTAAAACGGAGCGCGGCGTCGACCGCGAGCAGGCATCTTCCGACATCTCGCAGCCATCGACAGGCTCTGGGTCTCTCAATCGATATCGCATCGGCCTCACCTCTATCATGTTCCATGCGCCCAAAAGCGAGACCAGCTCGCTTCCCGCGTTCGAGGTCTCAGCTAAGCGACGTGTTCACGGTCGGAGCAGCTAGTTGGCCAGGTCTCGGCGATCTCACCTCCACCCTGCCGTGCGGGATAGATCAGCTTATCCCGGTCCGCCGGCGGGACTAAGGCCTCTCCGGGCCTCGCCCGATTCCTGCATGCTCCTAGCGGGCTGGCTGCCGAGGACTCGGTCGTTCCCTCCTGAGGACCCTTCGAACCGACCGCGGCCGCGGCCGCGACACACAACCGGGAGCCGAAGCGGGCGTTCTTTTTCCTTTCACGCACTCACGGACGGACACATACGAGCACCAGGGTAATACACCACTCGCGCGGGGGACCACTCTCTTCGAGATCCTCCTCCTCCTCCACCGCCTACGGGCTACGGGAACTCCAGCTCCGGCGTGCTCGAGGACGGCGGCGAGTAACAGCTCGAATCGGCGCGGCGAGGTCCAGCGCGACGATCGTCCTCGCGCATTATACACCACCGGCCATTTCCCGCCTCCCTCTGCGCGACACGGTCCTCTCCTCTCCTCTCCTCTCTCTCTCTCTCTTTCGTCCAGGCCTAGCCCTCCGACTCCGAGAGCCGAGCGAGCACCTGGGCCCCCGTTGTCTTTCCTTCCGGCCGTTCACCACCGCCTTCGGGCCACGATTCACCACCAGGAACCACCAGACCCCGAGCAAACCAGACCGGACCAGGCCAGATCAGGCCAGACCAGGCCAGACCAGGCCAGACCAGGCCACCACGTTCAACAACACCCGACCGAGCGACGAGCACACAACGACGCGACGACGTGACCCAACCCCATCCACCTCTACAGAGGAGAGCCGCCGCGGGTCCCAGCCGCGCGCAGATCGCACACGATGCGAGAAGGGAAGGCGGATGCGCGACGGTCGATCACACGGCCAAGGGAAAGATAGACTCTCTCAATGGCGTCCCCTATGGGTGGGCACCGTTCGCGCCGCACTCCCGACACCCGTCACGATCACCACATAGATCCTGTCCCATCTCGTCGTCGGGTCCCGTTTGCCTGCGGCCGCGTCCATCGACCGGGCCACCGAACTTCCGGCCGAACACCACGAAGGACGATCAACGAACCGAAGGACGCAGGAGACGGCTACAGAGAGAGAGAGAGAGAGAGAGAGAGAGAGAGAGAATTGATCGTCCTGTGGCGGCACCGCGCGCGACGGCCACGGGGGATGACGACGACGGTCCCCTCTCGATCCCGTTCCTCTCTCGGTGGTCCCTCCTCCTCTGTCGGTGCTCGATTTCCAAGGCGGAATTTCGTTGAAAAAACTCGATCTCGTCGAACTCGGTTTCGCGGAACTCGTCGTTTTTTTGGTAGAATCTCCGGCGGTGATAACGGATCCCCGGCCGCGCACCGTTTTCTTTCCTCTGTTTGCTACGGCGACGGTGTTTTCCGCTTGTCGTCGCACCCGCTTCCTCTCTCTCACTCGCGAGCTGTTGCTCGCGTGGGTGGCCGAACACGGCGCTGTTCTCGCTACGTCGTCCGCTACGTTGACGGTGTATAAATAGGTTTCGTGGCTGTTTGAAGCTGCAGGGCGCTGGCGCGGCCAGCTAGAGCGCCGCTACCGCCGCCTCTGGCCTCTGCTGCCGTCGCGTCGCCTCGCGTCGCGTCGCGATGTTCCCTCCGTCGACGACTGTCGCTCGCCGGTCTCTACGCTCGAAACGCCGACGACGACGACGAGAGAACTCGGCCGGCCGCCCGCTCCAAAGGGAGAGAGGGACGCGTTTTAAAAGGGCGCCGATGAAGGAACAGCGGAAACGAGGGGAGGAGAGACAAAAGAGGGAACAACCAGTCGAGGGAGCAGCGGGGAGTGCCGCGAATCGGACGGAAGAGGGAAACAGGAAAACATCGCGAGCCTCTCAATGTAACTAGACTATTTTTCAGCGCCGCGCCGGACTGATTTCGCCGGATCGACCTGGCTAAGAGAGACGGAGAGAGCCGGAGGGAGGAAGAGAGAGAGAGAACGAGGGCGAGACAGACGGAGAACGTGCTAGCGAGGGAAAGAGAGAGAAAGAGAGAGAGAAGGGCGAGGGAGACAGAGAGAAAGAGAGAAAGAGAGAGAGAAAGAGAGCAGAGCGTGAACGAGTCGGTGCGCTGGTTATTGATTGGCAGAAGTCGAGACCAGAGGGAGAGACGAGCCCACGGCGTTGTCACGCTGGACACCGAGCGAACGACCAGTCGTCGTGATTCACCTACCGCATACCGCCTCGATCCGCGAAAATCACCTTCGACGATCGAGGATCGATCTCCGTGCTACCCGCCGCCGGTACACGCGAGTCCCTCGACGCGAGAATGGCGGCTGGTCGCAACAAGCGATGTCACCGATCCCCGGCTACCCGTGCAGTTCAACGAACGAGCCGAGCAAATCTCGAGCGACTCGATGGAGCTCCGAGCGAATCATCCGGATTCAATGACGTATCCTATCGAAGGAGCTGGGGATTCTCAGTCTTTCTTTCTCTCTCTCTCTTTTTCTCTCAGAGGGTCCAAGGGTGTAGGCTGAGGGTGGCGAAGTCGGTTCTCGGGAGTCATCTGACACACTGGACACTTTCTTCAGCCATCGAACACTGGCACACTTCTCTCTCTACCCTCCGTTTCCTTCTCCTTGTGCTTTTTTCCCCGGTCTCTCTGTCTCCCTTTCCGGTTTCCCGTCTCTCTTTCTCTCTCTCTCGCTCTCTCTTTCTCTGTCTCTCTCCCCCTTTGTCTTTCTCTCCCTCTCCGGCTCTCTGTCACTTGTCGTGGAAAACGTTCGAGGCGTATCTCGGCGCGTCTTGCAACGTTATTGCCCTCTTCCACCACCCCTGTCGACCTTCTCTTCGCGCCGGGTTGACACGACACGCTGGTGTACGCGGTACGCCCTCGTTCTCACCCCCTGCGTCGCCACCGGATCCCGAGCGAAGCTTCGCTTCACACGGCCTCCGGCTGAAGAGTTCGCGGCCAATATGGCGGATTGTACGCGGTCACGCGACGATGCGTCTCGCTTCGCTTCGCTTCGTTTCGTTTCGTTTCGTTTCCTGTCGTTTCTCGTTTGGCCACCACTGTTGCCTCCGTCGACGGTCCTAGCGACGCTGACGCGAGGCACCGCGACGCGAACCTCTATCCGCCGCGCCACCGCCGACCGTGTAACGCCGACGCCGACGCCGACGCCGACGCCGACGCCGACGCCGACGCAGGCCGCGCAAAGCCGAGCCGAGTCTCTCGCTCTCGACGCGCTGCCCGAGGACGCGCAGAGTTCTCGCTCGCGGGTCCTGCGTGCGAACGACCCGCTCTGATGGACGACCGATCTAACCGGCCCACGGCGATCGACGATGCACGATACGCCAGCGAGTGGGAGACTGTCAATGGGACTGTCAACGACTATTACGATCTAGTCTCTAACGCGGGCATTTAATTATTTAGGGTGCCACTTGGGGAATTGTATGGCGCGAGCTACTCTGACGTTCGGGGACTATTTTGGTTTACCCTCGGTCAGGGACGAATGTTAACAGACGTGCCACGAACTTACGCGGTTCCGATGTTGCGAACGTAAGTCGAGAAATAAGGGTAAAAAGGGTAAATTAATGTACAGGGTGAGCCGTAATTCGTAGCGCAACCGAGAAACGGGTGATATTCTACATGAGAAAAATATGGAAAAGATTTCGTACGACGTTCTTTTATCGCGGGCTCGGTTTTCGAGAAAATCGACTTTAAAGTTCGTTGCTGCCGAGGCAGCCAATATATTAACCCTTTGCACTCGAAGCTATTTTAGCTGTAAATATAAAATCATTTTTCTACCTTATACTATTTCTATTAAACGTGATTAAAATGCATTTTATGCGCATGAAATTGACTCTCGAGACTCGCGCAATAATTGCACTCTTATCAATCTTTCAAAATCGAAATTTTGTTGATATAAAAATCATTTTGAAACGTAATATAACAAATTTTCGTGGTGCCTCAGGGTCGCCGCTCGAACAAAGGGTTAAACCGCTTCAAAGAATAAATTTGGAGGATGGGAACAATTGGAAGAAAAGTTTTTTTTAATGCAATTTCAAATTTTGCGNATAGTTTTGTTTCCCTGATTAGACCGGAAAATCGAGGTTCTTCTGCGAACACAATTTATTTTATTGGGATAATATTTTAGGCAACAAATTTCATTAGATTCTCTGCATAATTTCGTGTAACTAGAAAATTTTTTTGCTCGATCGAAGAATCGTCTTGAATAAATGACCGCCATAATATCTCGAAATTTACTTGGCCGACTGACTTTAACCCTTTGCACTCGAAGCTATTTTAACTGTAAATATAAAATCATTTTTCTACCTTACAAACATAAATAGTATACTATTTCTATTATACGTGATAAAATGCATTTTATGCGCATGAAATTGACTCTCGAGACTCGCGCAATAATTGCACTCTTATCAATCTTTCAAAATCGAAATTTTGTTGATATAAAAATCATTTTGAAACGTAATATAACAAATTTTCGTGGTGCCTCAGGGTCGCCGCTCGAACAAAGGGTTAAACCGCTTCAAAGAATAAATTTGGAGGATGGGAACAATTGGAAGAAAAGTTTTTTTTAATGCAATTTCAAATTTTGCGAAGCTGATAAATGCATTCAGATATGCATAACATAACCTTCGAATAGCCTTGGTCAAAAGATTAAAGTTTCGTTAAAGCAGAATGAGAATTTATTCGACTAAAAAGAAGTACACTTAATTTAACCCTCACCCCAATACACGGGCACTCAGATGACTAAACTGCGTTTCAAAGTATGCATATCTAGACGATATTCTCTTTGCGAATAAATACCTTTCCGGTGCTGTTAGCAGACCCAAGACAGATACGCGAACGTCAAAAGAGTTTCAAGAGTTTTTTGTAAAGAGATCTTACTCATTTCATCGGAGACATCTCTTGAACGGTAAAAAGAAATGAATCGTGTCAACATAGCAGGAAGTTTATTTACACTTTTATTTTCACATTCTGTTGCTTCCGTTATCGCTATTATCGTCATCGGGACATTTTCTTACGTGCCGAGGATCCTTGGAGAAACTATGGCTGACTCAATGTTTACAGAATCGATGGAACGCACGTAACAGGTGCCATTTTCGCGAGGTTCCCGGCGCAACAGCACGCGTGTGATCTGCGTGAGAATAATAAGCGATGACGCGAACCACGTGCGACACAGTGTGACGTTGACTCCCTGACGAAGGCTAGCGTGCTCAGTGTGTCTTATCGTTTCGAACATTGGGATCTTTAAAAGGCGATATCGAGCTCCGTAAAAATAATGTCGAATTATCTCCAGAAATGTTTCATGACGTTCGACTCTTTGTCGCGTCGATGGATATTTTAATCTTGACAGTTTTAATTCCCCGGGAAACACGATCCTTTCTTCGTATGATTCTTTAATGGTTTAAATGTAACTGACACTCGTTCCGTGGCTCTCGGGAACTGCGACCGATCGATCCTCCCAATTCCCTCCGCCCTTTAGTCATCCCGAGAAAATTACACGCGTTCCATAATTTTCCTGCGCGTTTACGCACGCCCGTACGTCACGGTGCGTCATCTTTTACGCGAGACTGACCGCCCTTCCCGTCCTTAGGGTGTACTCGCCTCATTTATTTATAGCGCGTCCCGCGAAACATTTTTACACAATGCCGACCACGGGCCGTCTTCCACTCGTCCTTTTGGGAATTTCTGGCTATTAAAATTCAACGCCGCTCCATTAGCATAGAGACGAAACGATGAATAGACCTGAACGCTCCACTCGTTAGCCGAAGAATAACCTTACCCTTAAATATTTGCCGAGGATGCTTCGCAACAAATGCGCTAAATTGATCGACAGAACGCAGAAGTCCCTTTCTGTAATTACGCAATGAATATTTAATGCATATCCTTAGGCTACAATTTAACACATTAGAATATTTCGAAAAATTCCGTGAAAATTTACCAAGAATAGCTTCGAATATGTATAATTTGAAGCTAGAGAATCCTAACGTTCGAAAGAATTATGGAAATTTCCTGTTTGCATTGTATCGCGTTTTTCTAAATTTATATAAATACATTCTAAATTTGTATTATCCCTTTGCACTCGAAGCCATTTTAACTGAAAAAATAATATAACTTTTCTGGCACATAGTATTTCCATTTTATATGACAAAGCGCATTGTATGCACATGATATTGAATCCTGTGATTCATGCAACGGTTACACTAGTAACAAATTTTTTAATTTAAACTTTTATGATATTAAAATTATTTTGGAACGTGATGTAAGATTTTTAGCGGTGCCTCGGGGTCACCACTCGAGTGCAAAGGGTTAATATTGAAATTCTATTAATATTAATATTAAAATTCCATTAATATTAATATTAAAATTCCATTAATATTAATATTAAAATTCTATTAATATTAATACTAAAATTCTATTAATATTAATACCAAAATTCTACTAATATTAATATTCTAAAAATTCTAAATTTTTATAAAATAATCTTTCGGCTTCTCGATTTCATAGGGGATGATCGGAACCCGGTGGATAAAGCAGACCAACTCCGTTGCGAACCGTGACTGCTGGCACCTAGTTGACCTTGGCTCAAGCTTACAGTGCCGCAACACAAATACCGACGACGATACAACAGCGGAGCCCGTTTCCGTCGGCAGAACAGTTACCTATAGCTATTCCAGCCCCAGAATACAGCCACTCAACTCCGCCAAGCTCGTTTCACCTGCAATTTCTTAGGACGATCCGTGGAACAGGGAAACAATAAACGATTACACCATTCCTCGGAATTAAAGCCCTTCCATCGGGGGGACTTCTGTACTATTCCGGTGAAATTGAATCGCGCATCGCCGGGAGATTATCCAACTCCGATCCTTTCCATTCGCCGGGGCCAATGAAAAAGGATATTAATAATAGGAATAAAAGGGAAGAGATACGAATTGGCAGGATTGAAGCCCGGGAATTTATCGGAGGATCGAATGCGAGGCAATTTTCAGGGTCCGCGAGCTCATTATCGACTCTTCGTCCCAGATATCGAATTCTCCTATAAATAGAAAGCCTTCGAAAACACCTGGCGCGCGAAGTTTCAATCCGCGAGTTTGCGATGCAACTTCCCTGGCAGTTAACATATTGTCCGATTGTTACGAATTCGTCATCCGTATTGAATCTGCTTGGCGCAGAAATCGGGCAAAAATCAAAATTTTCGTCTGATTTTCTTGTCCGTGATTTTTTCACTACGGTACGAATTTTCAACCTAATGGTCGTAGAAAAGTTTAAAGGAGAGTAAAATGTGAATGTAAAAATAATTTCTTTTATGTTTCAGTTGTTTCAATAACGTGATAGAAAGACGAGCGAATTTTTACCTGATTTTCAGAGAACCAGGTATTCGACTACTTTTCAAGTATTAGCAAGATCGAACATAGGGGAGGGAAACGAAAGTATCAATACCTCGATTGAATCGCTATATACTAACATTACCAGCGGTGTTAATTAACTATAAATCATGCTTTCAGTCTCGTCTAGCTAAACCTTGAGAAATACGAATATTTGCAGCATCACCAGCGAAGCGGACTACGTATTTTTGAAACACGTTCAATTTGGAGTCCTGTCGAAATACAGCAGTCCTAATTTGTTACTTTAAAGTACCCTAAAAATATCCCAAGTGCCCCAACCACCGTCGCGCTAAGAAAGCTAGAAACATCCGGTGCGGGACGTCCTTCGCACCCCCGCGCTATTCGACGCAGCAGCGTCGAAGAAATATAGCCAGGGGGCCCATAGCGGCCCAAAACGTTCGAGACCCTTCCGAGGAACGGTTCTCTCGGCAAGGACCTCGAAGGGCCTCCGTAAATTCTCCTCCCTCCCCTGTCAGTGTCGGCACCGAATCCGCCCCTCGGCTGGCAGGCAGCGTTCGTGAACACGTGCAGGGAGGTTTCGGCTGGCAGTCGATGTGTCTGTGCGTGGCAGCGAGTGAGCGTGTGACTGTGAGTGCGTGCTGGAAGAAAGAAGGAGACAGGGTTCCGTGTTAGAAGAGCGTGCCAAGCAGGCACACACGCGCCCACGCATACGAAGGTATCGCGAGAGCACGCACACGAAGACGAAGACGACGACGACGACGAGCACGACCACGACCGTGAGGAGCACGAACACGAACACGAATACAAGCACAAGCGTGCAGGCATCCGTCGTCGCCGACATCATCCTCGTCGTCGTAGACGTTCCTGGCTGGATATGCGTGGCGGAGAGGCAGGGCGGGTGGGAGGGAGCGAGAGGGGAGAGAGGGTCGGGAACAGGCTCGACTGCTCCCCCTAATACTGCAGGATTGAATGGGCGAGGAGGGTGGTATTGGGTTCCCTCACCCCACTCCCACCACCCACACGCCGCTGCTCCCAACCCACCCGCACCACCCACTTCTGTCCGCCTGCCACCCCGCCTGCCCACCCACTCGCCACCCGACTGCCGTCGAGGAAACAACCTGCAACCGAACCAGCACAACGTTTTCTCGAACAACGAAATTTCCATCGAGGCTACACCACCGAGGGCCTGGCGGCCTACGCACGTCACCCGCCGACCCGTCCGACCTGTCAGCCGAGAATCGTGAGTACCTAAAAGCACACCAACAGCCTCTCTCTCTCTCTATCTCTCTCTCTCTCTCTCTTTCCGTTCGCCGATCCGCCGATCCGCCACCGTGTGCCAATCGAATCGTCGTCGTTCCTCGGGGCCGACCCCGCGGGGCCCGCGGACCCGCGCGCGCTTCAATTTTTTCCTATGTACCCAGGGCCCCCCCATGGAGAAGCGTCCTTTCTCCTTCCTCCCTCGGTTCCGCGGAGTCCACCTCCTTCGGGTCTCGTCCTCTCTCGGAGCTGTCACCTCGGAGAGTACACCGTCGCGCCAGACTATCGGCGATCCTGTCTGCGATCTCCACTCCACTCTTTCTTGCGATTCTCGCGTGCCGTGGAAATTCCGAATCGATGGTAGAGGAATCGGTGAGAGTGTGATCGGAGTGTGACCGGAGTGTGCCAGAGTGTAACAGCGTGTAACAGAGTGCGCGTGCAGGAGAGGAGAGAAGCAAATGACGGAGGAGAACGCGTGCCGTGTGCATCGCGCGGAATAAAGTTGCGTGTCTTCGCTCGCTCGCCCAGAAAGAGAGTGAGAGAGAGAGAAAGAAAGAGAGAAGGAGAAAAATAAAGAGAGTGAGAGAGAGAGAGAAAGACGTGTCCGAAGAAACGGTGAACGCGAGTATGTACGACGCCGGCCCGCGCGCGAGTGGATCGCGCTGGCTCCGCGGTGCTCGGGACGCGTACGAGCGATGAACGCTCGATATGCGGCGCGGAGCGGCGCGGAGCGGCGCGTCTCGGCGCGTCGCGTGTGCGTGCCTCTTCTCGCTGGCCGAGCCTTCGTCATCTTCTTCTTCTTCTTCTTCTCTTCTCCTTCTTCTTCTTCTCTTCCTTGGTCGTTGTCGTCGTCGCTCTCGGCCGTTTCTTCCTCCTCGGCTCCGTTTCCGCGTGTGTGCGCGCCTACTTTCGCGCGGACTGCGAGAGAGAAGTCGCCGGTTGTGGCGAACGGATCGTGTTTGGACGAGCGAGAAACACGTTCGGCTCGAACCGTCCTCCAGAGAAGTATACGGGCCACTCTTCCCTATACATTTCTAAATCTCATGTGCGGGCGCGGTGTGCGCGCGCGCACCGACCCGCTCGCCGTCCTTGGTTAGTCGGTAATAATTTCCGGATGAATTTGAATGGCACACTGCGCGCGCCTTCTCTCCTCCGTCACCCCACCAACTCTCCTTCCCCTATTTTACCCCCTCCTCGAGCTGTCTCTTAAACTGCTTCTCTCTCACTACCCATTTCTCTTTCTCTTTCTCTCTCCCTCGCTCTCTCCTTTCAGCTCTTGCTTATTCCCTCGCCGTCTCCGTCTCTTTCTCTTGCCCCTTCGGCTTCTCTTTTTTCTTCGTTCCCTCGACACCGTCTGCGTTTATGCCTCCCTCTAGCCGACCCACCCGCATCTCCCCTCCAGGCCAGCATGGTTTTCTTCGGAGACAGTGGCTCTCAACCGGCGCAGAAGCCGAACGCCTCGGATGTCCACCCCCTCCGCCGCCATCTGTCGCCTCTGCAGGACGTGTCCTCGATCGCTGGGAGGGGAATATTGATTTATTCCGGAGCCGGTATATAACCCCTTCCACATACCGAACGTTCTTGCCCACCCCTGGCACACACCGGCCCTCTACACACCACCGACAGTACACGTCGCGGTGCTACGTGTTCGCTGACTAGGGTTGTGCACGATTTCTGTCTCCCTACCTGCCTGCCGCTCTCCCCTCCTCTCTCCTTTACTCTAGCGCTTTGTCGCTCCTCTCCTCTCTCTCTCTCTCTCTCTCTCTCTCTCACTCTCTATCCCTCTCTCGCCGGTTTTCCACTCACGCGGCAGCACGATCAATACGCCGCCAGGCTCCTTCTTCCTCATTCCGGACAGCACCCACCCGAAAACCGTGCTCTTCCTCCGCCGTCCGATCGAAATCAATTGGATACCAGCGGGGGTGGGATCCAGCTCGATGCGTGCTCTCGGGGTTGAATCAACTGGTTGAACGAAGAACTTTTTCCTTCGGATCTTGCTGCTTCGTGGCTCCATTGTCGGAGCATGACTTCGACACAAGGGCTCAGATTGCTGAAAAATCGTCTCCACGGAGGCAGACATTTTCGTGCGCTGTGATTCCGCCTGGTATCTTCTTTTTTCTGTATATTTTCTTTTTATCGTTGAGTCGGGTGTATTATTTGGGACGCTTCCCAGCGGTACTTGCTAGTTCCGGTTTCACGAATAGGATCGAATTCCGTAAACTCGTTTCACCCGGCTATCGATTTTACAGATTGCCGGTGAATGGGATCGAAGGGTGGTCGATTTCAGCCTGTATTTATATTTTCGCCGGGATAACTTGTTAGAAATCTTCTCTCTTTTGGAAATATTGCGTTTCCTTAGCTTTAATTCAACGTTGATTTTTCACCTTGAGCGTCTTTGATTGGCGAATATTTCGACCTCTCTACGATTAGCCGATCATCTCCCTCCCCATTCGATTTCCGTCCCTAATAATCCAATAACAGAAAAGAAAAGTTATGTTTATTTTATATCAATAGATTTTCGGAAGCAAATAGAAGTTCAGCGTTTGGGAACGGTGTGGAAGTTCATTTAATGTTAAAAGAAAGGATCATCGTTCGCGTTTATTATATAATACATTTACAAAACAAACTTCCCCGCGAACTGGGCTTTCTACGAAAATACCTCTCGGCTAAACTTCGCATCAGTATTACCCTCTAATTCCAACAGATACGTATTCGCGCTCAGATAAATAATATCGAAATGTTTCACGCCGATATTGATCTTTTTACTCTTGACAGTTCAAGATTAGCGGATATTATTTTTGGACACGTACTCCACTTGCTTGGAATAAAAATTGCTCGAAAATCCTCGGCTGTAGGAAAAGGAAGACCGCGTATCACCGAAAATCTCCGAAAGTCTCGGTACATTTAATCTTTCTAGAGATCTGGTTTTCGGTATTTTACCTCTTGCTTCATATCTCACTGTAAAGACAAGAAGTTAAGCCGGCCATCTGCGAATGATACAGCGGCCATAATAGGAACGTCGGTCTCGCATTTACTAAATCGAAGCCGCTTCTCTCGGATTGTTTTTTGTAGGTGGCAGCTATTTGGGTATTAGGGTTGAGGGTAAGAAATCTGTTAAACGCCCGGATGGCTGCGTCGGTTGGAGCCTGGGTGCCTAGACTATGGATCCCAGTCCTGAGCCATGTGGTTGGTTTTTACCTCCCTCCCTGGACGGTCGCTCGAAGGGTCGGGGTCGTTTGGCCGATGGGGCACCGTTAGGGTAGTTGGGGAAAGATTTGCGTTCGGTTAATATTCGTCAGCTGTATTATCAATCGCGTTACTTGTCTTATCCCCAATAGTCGATTTCTATGAACGATTTTCATCGAATTGCGCCCCAATGAATATCAGCTTCCCATATCCTTCATCCTCCACGAGGATAGCGGATGAAAATAAGCCGAGGTTAGCGATGCATTTTGTTCCATTTAATTTTAGTCGGTCGCGAAGTTTAATTTCCGAAGACACGGCTACCAAAATTGAATAATTCGTTGAAATTCAGTCGCGAAGGAAGCGAAGACTCTCGGTTCGAGTTCTAAGTGAAAATCGATACCCCTTTTCAGCCAGCCTCTGCACTGTACCACGCTCAAAAGGCGAATGATTTTCCGTTCATGAATATTTAACGCTCTGTAACACAATCAGGACTGGATTTTTCGCCCACGCCTGCTCCCCGTAGGACGCGGCGGGGGTGAAGAATTAAGATCGCTCACGCTCGAGTAAATTACAAAGTGACTTTAACCGTCGATCAAGTTGCCCGGGATCCTGCTGGAATATCCGTAACTGTGTTCCACGGTCCTTCTTCGCCGTCGTGGTTCCTTTCTAAAGGATATTGCGTCGCCTCGAGTGCTTTCCCACAGCATCCCCCATTACTTCCTTCCGCCCTTAAATATCCTTAAGCGGTCTCCACACACAACCGACAATGTTTCCCGGCGCCATTGAAATTAATTAAACACACGAACGCTCGGAGAGCCTATGCATTTTACGTTTCCTGCGTTTACAACTCATTTCTGAACGCTGCCGTACGCTTTAGAAATGCATACCGAGCAAACGGAACCGATTTATTTCGAACGGAGTATATATTCGATAAGATCGTGTCGAAGTAATTAATCGAACCGGCTGCATCAAATAACTATTAGAGCATTGGAAAGACCGAAACGAGAAAATTACTCCGAGCGAGTCGTTACTTTCTCTGCGGAATATTTATTTGGAAGGCAGTCGGGGAGCGTTCGAGATGATCTAATCAGTTGATATTATGGTGCCATTAGACTTCTCAATCGAATTAGAGTGTCTACGTGCCGGAGTTTCCTCGAGGCCGATAAACGATCGTCTCGGAACACGCCCGCCGCGCATAATAATTACATCGCGCCGGTGTACTTGATTTCCGAGAGCCTCTAATTGAAGATCCGTAACGTCGATCGCTGCACCTAAACGCTTCGTAACAGCCTTGATTCGAATGCCGTTGTGCTACCCCCGGCAAGAGCTTGTTAAGGCCTCTGATACCGAGACCTGGCGTCTCTCCGCGTGTTCCTGTCGCCTCGGCACGGTTTATTATACGTCGGGACTGGATCGATCAAAAAATAGTTTTAAATATCGACTTTTAGTGGTCGACAAAATTTTTGTGGTAAATTATAATCCTCGATATTATTCGCTATTCTCCGTCCAATTGATTCTCAAAGCAAATACTACTCTTCGATGTTTACTCTTAAATAATAGTTCTCGATGTTCATTCTTCGATCTAACAAATTCCCGAGGCAAATAGATTTACATATGCAGCTCCGTCTTCCCGCAAGAAGACGATTCACTTGAATATATTGTATGCACGAGGTGCAGCTGAGTATATAGAAGATAAGAGCCAAGGGGAGAAAAATGAAGTGGGTGAGATGGACGGGAAACTCGCGGGGAGTTTACTTTGCAATAGCCATCTCTTCTTCGTAGATTGCGCAGCGTGCACTTTTTTTTTTCGTAACCTCGTGAAATATCAACGAAAGTGTCCACTGTTATTATTGCCCTCCTAACGTTTGCGTATCTAACATCTACATGAAGTCGTTCCGTAAAGCGAAATATTCTTGCGTCATAAAACCTAGGAAACCTCGTGAAAATAACAGACGCGAGAATTTCTTTTCAAGAAAAAATTTAATCAAGTCCTTCTCATATTTTGAATAGAGTTCGCGGGGGTGGTTTTCCCACATCGCCTCGGTTTATGTAGCAGAAAATTAATTGTCGCGATAATTTCTAACTTTCGAATGTCATTGTGACAATTGTCAACAGTGAAATATAACAGCAAAACGATAAAACTAAAGCGTTAAAAGTTCTTCTCGAAGTTGTCAAGCCGCAAGTCAATTGATTTTAATAAATATATGTTTAGTAAATCCTCGCAAAAGCAACTTCAGAATCGCAGCAACCCCAAAGCAAAGAATTTGTTTAAACCATCCGTTTCTTCTGAGTCCTAAATTATTATTATTTTCCAATCGGAAATGTTGAAAAGCCGACAACTCCTGGCATCACCTATGCAAACTAGCCGGCCGAAGAAGAGAAGTTGAGCCGTTTCAGTGATTCGGGGAAGCCTGGCCTTCCTTGAACATTTAATTAAGGTTCGATGACCCAATTACCATGGCTCCTTTATCGATTCAGCCCCAATTACTCCGGAGAAAGGGTTACATTCTCCAGCGAGCGAAAGGAATACGCGGGAAAGAGTTGCCCTGTAAATTTAAGGTCAGCCGGAACGGCGAGGCAAATGGAATTGCTGGAGGGAGGGTGTGGGAGGGTTGGGGTTCGGGGGGGAGTGTTTCGTGGATTATTAGTTGTATCCCGACTTACGGTCTACAACTTCGTGCGCAGGTAGCCGAGCGGGCAGGGTTTATTGTTCCAAGGATACTGGGTGACCGTCGGGATCTTCAAAAATGGAGGGCAGCGGCACCGGAATTAGCAGGCTCGACTGTTACGAGGATATGTTCAAGGAAATCACCAGGAAACTCTACGGCGAGGATCCTGACCATCGAAGTGAGATTTCCTTTTAATTGTAAATACAGATGTAAACATAGGCTTTCTTAAATTTCATGGAAGCAGAGGTATCTATGAATTTCTATAGAGTAGAACGGAAAAGAATTTTCTTTATTTTCGTATTGCTATATACGCTGCAGATTTTTAAGCAAACATAGACTAATTGCAGTAAATTTTTATTATAAATTTGAATTATAATATAATAGATTTTTAATAGAAAATTTGGTTTACAATAAATTTTTAATAGAAAATTTGAATTATAATAGATTTTTAATAGAAAATTTGGATTACAATAAATTTTCAACAGAAAATTTGAATTACAATAGATTTTTAATAGAAAATTTGGATTACAATAAATTTTTAATAGAAAATTTGAATTACAATAGATTTTTAATAGAAAATTTGGATTACAATAAATTTTCAACAGAAAATTTGAATTACAATAGATTTTTAATAGAAAATTTGGATTACAATAAATTTTTAATAGAAAATTTGAATTACAATAGATTTTTAATAGAAAATTTGGATTACAATAAATTTTCAACAGAAAATTTGAATTACAATAGATTTTTAATAGAAAATTTGGATTACAATAAATTTTTAATAGAAAATTTGAATTACAATAGATTTTTAATAGAAAATTTGGATTACAATAAATTTTCAACAGAAAATTTGAATTACAATAGATTTTTAATAGAAAATTTGGATTACAATAAATTTTTAATAGAAAATTTGAATTACAATAGATTTTTAATAGAAAATTTGGATTACAATAAATTTTCAACAGAAAATTTGAATTACAATAGATTTTTAATAGAAAATTTGGATTACAATAAATTTTTAATAGAAAATTTGAATTACAATAGATTTTTAATAGAAAATTTGGATTACAATAAATTTTCAACAGAAAATTTGAATTACAATAGATTTTTAATAGAAAATTTGGATTACAATAAATTTTTAATAGAAAATTTGAATTACAATAGATTTTTAATAGAAAATTTGGATTACAATAAATTTTCAACAGAAAATTTGAATTACAATAGATTTTTAATAGAAAATTTGGATTACAATAAATTTTTAATAGAAAATTTGAATTACAATAGATTTTTAATAGAAAATTTGGATTACAATAAATTTTCAACAGAAAATTTGAATTACAATAGATTTTTAATAGAAAATTTGGATTACAATAAATTTTTAATAGAAAATTTGAATTACAATAGATTTTTAATAGAAAATTTGGATTACAATAAATTTTCAACAGAAAATTTGAATTACAATAGATTTTTAATAGAAAATTTGGATTACAATAAATTTTTAATAGAAAATTTGAATTACAATAGATTTTTAATAGAAAATTTGGATTACAATAAATTTTCAACAGAAAATTTGAATTACAATAGATTTTTAATAGAAAATTTGGATTACAATAAATTTTTAATAGAAAATTTGAATTACAATAGATTTTTAATAGAAAATTTGGATTACAATAAATTTTCAACAGAAAATTTGAATTACAATAGATTTTTAATAGAAAATTTGGATTACAATAAATTTTTAATAGAAAATTTGAATTACAATAGATTTTTAATAGAAAATTTGGATTACAATAAATTTTCAACAGAAAATTTGAATTACAATAGATTTTTAATAGAAAATTTGGATTACAATAAATTTTTAATAGAAAATTTGAATTACAATAGATTTTTAATAGAAAATTTGGATTACAATAAATTTTCAACAGAAAATTTGAATTACAATAGATTTTTAATAGAAAATTTGGATTACAATAAATTTTTAATAGAAAATTTGAATTACAATAGATTTTTAATAGAAAATTTGGATTACAATAAATTTTCAACAGAAAATTTGAATTACAATAGATTTTTAATAGAAAATTTGGATTACAATAAATTTTTAATAGAAAATTTGAATTACAATAGATTTTTAATAGAAAATTTGGATTACAATAAATTTTCAACAGAAAATTTGAATTACAATAGATTTTTAATAGAAAATTTGGATTACAATAAATTTTTAATAGAAAATTTGAATTACAATAGATTTTTAATAGAAAATTTGGATTACAATAAATTTTCAACAGAAAATTTGAATTACAATAGATTTTTAATAGAAAATTTGGATTACAATAAATTTTTAATAGAAAATTTGAATTACAATAGATTTTTAATAGAAAATTTGGATTACAATAAANACTAAGTTTTATTGGATTTTTAATAGGCGATTAAGTTTTATTGGATTTTTAATAGGCGATTAAGTTTTATTAGATTTTTAATAGAAAATTAAGTTTTATTAAATTTTTAATGGACGATTAAGTTTTGTTAGATTTTTAATAGACAATTAAGTTTTATTAGATCTTGAATAGAAGTTTAATTAGAAACGTTAAATTGTTATTATATTCTAAATTAAAAATTATATGAATAAATTTGCTACAAACAGGAGATTGTGAATTTGTATACAGTAAAAACGAAAAGGAATTTCCTTACTTTAGTATTCGCTTTTTCATATGCCAAAGAGAATATAGACTAGTAAACAATAAAGACTTAAATCTTAAAAATTTAAAGTTAGTTAAGTATTCAATTTAATTGTAGATTGTAATAATGAAATAAGCATTCGCGACATTATTTTCCTCGTTAAAATTTTCGCTGAGACGAAAGTCGAAAAGAGATAACGATCTTTTTCGAATTCTATTGAAATTATTATTCAATTATGATAGTTATTTTGCAATTTTCAACTCAGTAGTTTGGTTCCGAAACGTAAAATTTCACTGGTATTCTCAAGAGAATTCTAAATTCATGATTTATGGACGTTCATATTTAACCTTCTAAGGAAAAGGTATTTACGACCTGTTTCTCGTGTAGCGTCGAGCGTTCAGAACGAATTTGAGACATCGGTGTCGTATAAGAATGACGAGGACACCGAAAATGGTACCGACGGAAGTGATGACGTCAACTGGACGTGCGAAGATGAGCCTCTTAAAGGAACCGATGGAAGTCGTATCGCAGCTTACCATGCCGGAAAAGCGACCTGGAGGTGCTACGAATGTGGTTCGTACCTTTCTCTTATTAAATATGATCGCGCAATGTGGGCTCTAGGATTCCGTTAAAAAATTATAGAGTTCTTATTGATAGAATTTATAGTGTCTCATTCATAAGTTTCGACTGCAAATTTTCAATGCAAGATTAAAATCGTATTTTACATATCGGTATTATCGATAGGCGAAAGATAATTACTACCACCTATTTAACACTAGGTTTACGGTGCACTAAAAGCAGCCATTCTATAGTCTTTCATAAAAATAACAAGCATACATTTATCCAAATTTTGAGCCGTTTTTGTTATGATATATGAGCGTTTTAAAGCAAAACTGGTGCAAGTCCACTTTTTGCTAGGTTGTTTTAATTTTATTAAATCATATTTAGTTTAATAGTTTATTCGGCCATTTTTTGTCACGTCAAGTTGAAGCTTGAAAGTGGCCTGCATGAAAGAGTTGTAACGATTTTTTATATTATTGCATTTTACAGAACTTTGAATTTATCCTTCGTTATCCACAAATTAATTGTTTTCACTTCAAACCTTCAAAACTTCTGAAATCAATTTATTGAATAAATGCCTGAACTTTCCCGTGACTTTCCAATGTACATTGAAATGGATTTTGTCGAGAGAAGTCCACAAATCAAAGTCCTGAATCGAGAAATGTAGTTAAAATAAATCCTGAGTTCATTTGTTACGAAGTCATGCGCATCCAAAGTTGACGAATTTCCAGCGTTTTTGACAGGTTATGTCAAGGTTATGTCAAGGTCATTGGTTACTATGCAGTTCTACGATACGCGTGCTGCCATCTGGCAGCGCCGCTCATTAAACTATGTCTGTGAACTGAGCAGGCACATCAGCCTGCCAGAAACGCTGGAAATTCGTCAATTTTGGACGCGCAAAATTGTTTAACAAATGAATTCAGGAATTATTTTAATTACATTCCTAGATTCTCTCTCTCTCTCTCTCTCTCTCTCTCTCTCAGGACTTCGATTGTTAGTCTTTTCTCGACCATTCGAATGTACACTGGAAAGCCAGAAAAAAAGCAACCCCCATGGAAAAATTTCACCGAACAAATTCCCCGAATAAATGTATGTTAACAATTTGAACAATCGTAAATTAATAAATTTAATAAATTCGTGCCAATCTCGACGCGTTCCGTACATCTAGTGTTAAAACGGAATTAAATTCAATGGGATTTTCTTTATTCCGGGATTATTTATGGGATTTTGTTTATTCCGTTTGGAAGTTTCTCATTAATTAGAAATGTCTAAGTATCAAATTGTTGTGGAAAGAATAAATTACGAACAAATCAAGTCGGCTGCATGGAAATATAACCATCGGCAACTAGAAAAGTTCGAGGCACGGCGCGTCGCGACGAGTTTACCTTGAGTTTCGGGGGGCTCGTTTAATTATTGCAACAACAGCCGCTGAGGGTTCAATGAGAAGTAACGGCGAAAGGTATATCGTCGGAATAACGGTACTGCAAGCATGGAAGTGGCCCCTCCGGCCAGACTGACAACGAATTGAAGTGGTAAACAATAACGAAACGCAGCCCGGCCGGGAGGTAAGCCGCTTTCCCGGACAAGAGAGTTTTACTGCCCCGGTCAGTAATTTCCCGGCGTGTTCTGTGTCATCGGGTCGGCTTAAGGACCCCGGCCTCCCTTCCGCAAACGGAAGAATTGTCGCGTCGTATAATGCCTTTCCGCCACCCCCTACCCATTCCTCGCGGCACCGATGAGCTGTCCCGACCCTAAATATCCTTGAGTTGGGGTCTCATTATTGTTTCCGTATGTACGTGTCGCGTTCGAAGACTCTCGATGCTGTTAAAGCGAGACTTTCGTTCCGTTACACGGAGAATTTAAGCAATTACGTGGCCGAGCGCACCGGTACATGGAATTAATGGGGTTCGCGTACTATATTGCGGATACTAAACGAAGGAGCGAGCGAGTAAATCGATCGGCGATACTTCCTCGCCGTTTCTAACCCCTTCGTTCGATTTGCCGACCGGCCGAATCTCGCTTGTATTTATGTACTTTTCTATTTGCACGGTTGTATTCGGGTTTATCGTGACTGACTAATCCCCGAGGACGAGTGGTACTATCTACGGAACTAATCGGTTTTCTTCCGGCAGTTTATTTGGGAGATGTGTTTATAGTAAAGCAATCGTTTGACCGGTCACTTCAGATTTCGCGCATTTGCGACGCACGTGGTCGGGTAAATTACGAAACGAGGGGAAAGAATTTTTAATTATTTTCTTGTAGACGGGGCAGAAGATTTTTATTTTGCACACAGATTTGCAGTTTATCATGAGAGGGCCAAATTGGCTGAGACAACAATCGCTATAAGAAGCTTCAACAGCTGTCTGCCAGACTGTTTTCAACTCTTCGTCATCTAGCGATTTTTCATTAATTCGTTACCGTATTTTAATAATCTGTTGAGTACGAATGTTACTCCGATCTTTCAAGTCGGAATAAAATTCTGTTCTCGTGTGATCAGTATTTTAAGCATTCGAGTAAATTCAGCCAGGCAATAAATATAAATCTTGTTCCAAAAGATTATAATTAGACCGCGGATTTTTATGCAAAATAATTGTCTGCGTCAATTGCAAGAAATAAGAACTAAGTAGCAAGTTTATTCATTCCTTCGTCATTCTGGTAATAATACATTCATCTGGTATTGATATACATTGTTATACATTGACATACATTGATATACATTGATTCTGGTGTAATAATACATCTGAAAATAATACATTGATATTTTTAAATTCTTATAATTTTTCTACCATTTATAATTGCTGTTACCCAATTTTTTTTCGTCCTAAATGCATTCAATTCGCCGTCTAATTATTAGAATCGAGAAACATTTAAGAAACAGCAACAGCGAAGAAAGTATTGGATTGGGGAATAAGTTCGTAGCGTTTTTATATTTTATTTTATTTTACGATTTTTTTGGAAAATGACGATTTTGACGTCGACCTTCTGATTTCCAATTTAACCCAGGCTCTCAATTTTTCGGCAAATCCCATTGAATGAAGATGATTGAGAATCGTTCTATGATCGCAGTTCATTTTTTCGGCCAATTCACGACTTGTTTGTGTCGTCGACGTCAAAAATGTCATTTTTGAACTTCGCAAACCATTTCCGTGCTGTAGACATGCCTATGACACCTTCTCCGTATACGTTGCAAATGTCCCGGGCTGCTTCAGCAGCTTTTCGGCCTCGATGAAAAGCGAAGAAGAGAAGGTGTCGAAAATGTTGCTTTTTACCTCCTGGATATTCCATTTCTAAGCCTCGAAAGTAATAAAAAATTAAATTACTCAAAAAGACGATTAGCGCAGTTTTGTAGAGCAGAAAGAGCTCTATCGAATGAATATTATACACTTTGTCAAACAGCACAAAGTAAAAGAAAATATAAAAACGCTACGAACTTATTCCCCAACCCAATAGTACGCCATGACTACTCTGCACTCGAGTGGCAACCTCTGAAGCGACATCAAAAATTGTTATATCATGTTTCAAAATAATTTTAACATCGTCGAATTTGTTTATATTTAAAAAAAAACATGATGAGGTGTTTTTCGAGTCACAAAATTCACTTAAATGTCGTAAGAGCATGAAATGCAGTAAGTTACATGAAATGAAAATACTATAAGACGGAGTAACTACTTTAGATTTCGAGAGTATGAAGTTGCTTCGAGTGCAAAAGCTTAATTTCGAAACAATGAAAATGATTTTATTTTCCACTCTTGCATATCAGGGAGAATTAAATGTTGTTTAAAATAAATGTTGTTGTTATTAAATAGCACAGCAACGGTAATCCTACGCTTGAAAATTTTCTACTTTCTCTGTATACTTCAGAAACTTTTACGAACATGTTTTAAACATTTAACTTAATAGTTAAACTTAATAGTTAAATGTTTAAAACATGTTCGTAAAAGTTTCTGAAGTATGCAGAGAAAGTAGAAAATTTTCAAGCGTAGGGAGAGGGTGGGGGGTGGGGCGGCGCAATGAGGGCCGGGCCTCTCGTAGATGACAATGAAATTGACGTCATTCGTCATTCGGCAGGCGTCGTAATGAGGGGAGGTCCTCGCGACGTGTCCGAACATTTCTTGGAGGTTCATTCTTCGAGGATCCTCGCAGACGACAGCAGGAACAGGCATCACTCTCCGCGCAAGGATTACTTGCAGTCGGATCTTAAGATCGAGGAAGTGATCTCATATCTGGAGAGGCTACGGGAAAGAGCCGAGCGAGTAGCGCCGCCGTCTAGGCGGACACAGGAGACGCAAACCGTACCTGCCACCCTGTTGCCGGTCACCTCTACCTTCCTACTGCAGGAGTTGCCTTCTTCTCCCGCGCCACAACACCTTCATCAAGTAAGTTTCGGCCATTGCTATCATACAGTGACTATCGCTTAACATCGTACATACGGGATAATTGTAAGAAATTCCTAAATCGCGTATATAATATAAATACTTCACATTATTTAATGTATAACAACGGAAAAACAAAACTTTCAATAATTATTAATAAATTAAATAAACTTTGTCGTTACGTACAGAACTAGCGGGTCAGTGAAAATCGTGATTTCACCGGTTTTACAGTGTAACCAACAGTGTACGATTTTCACTGACGAGCTAGTTCTATATCTAACGACAAATCTTATTTAATTTACTAATAAATAATTGCTGAAAGTTTTATTCTATTGCTGTTATATATTAAATAAAAAAGTAATAATAAATAATATATATTATTTTTATATATATATAAAGGTGAGCTAAGCTGGCGCGAGGCGACCGAGCCTATGAGCGAAAGTTGGCTTTGTGCGCTGGTTGGCTGGGCCGCCTCGCGTCAGCCGTACTCATCTATTGGTCACTGTTTTTCGTTAATAACTCGTTAACGGTGCCTCGGAGAAAATTTTTGTAAAGGAAAAAGTTGCTTCAAGTGATCTGAGGAACCCGCCATTTCCGAATTGCGAGACATTTTTGGGACACTCTGTATATATATATTAGTAGTATATATTAATATATATTAACATATACTATATATATTAATAGTTTTTTTTAGTTATATATTAATAGTTTCATAAGAGTGAAAACCAGCTGTACCTAAAAATTTTACATTGCCCGAATCGTTGGGAAATTTTTACCTGGCCTCCAGGTAACTTCAATGACAATGCGTAGGTTTTTATTGGGGGTAATTTGGCTGGCGAAATCGTTTCTTGAAATGTTTGCTTTCGAACGTGAATGTATGCAATTTCAAATAATACCATACTGAAAGTACATACAATTTTTATAATTTTAACGAACGTTTAAAAGAATTGAATAGAATTGAATAATCTATTGAATAGTCTATACGAGAGAGAGAGAGAGAGAGAGAGAGAGAGAGAGAGAGAGAGAGGGAGAGAGAGGGAGAGAAAGGGAGAGAGAGGGAGAGAAAGGGAGAGAGAGGGAGAGAGAGGGAGAGAGAGAGGGAGAGAGAGGGAGAGAAAGGGAGAGAGAGGGAGAGAAAGGGAGAGAGAGGGAGAGAGAGGGAGAGAGAGAGGGAGAGAGAGGGAGAGAAAGGGAGAGAGAGGGAGAGAAAGGGAGAGAGAGGGAGAGAGAGGGAGAGAGAGAGGGAGAGAGAGGGAGAGAAAGGGAGAGAGAGGGAGAGAAAGGGAGAGAGAGGGAGAGAGAGGGAGAGAGAGAGGGAGAGAGAGGGAGAGAAAGGGAGAGAGAGGGAGAGAAAGGGAGAGAGAGGGAGAGAGAGGGAGAGAGAGAGGGAGAGAGAGGGAGAGAAAGGGAGAGAGAGGGAGAGAAAGGGAGAGAGAGGGAGAGAGAGGGAGAGAGAGAGGGAGAGAGAGGGAGAGAAAGGGAGAGAGAGGGAGAGAAAGGGAGAGAGAGGGAGAGAGAGGGAGAGAGAGAGGGAGAGAGAGGAAGAGAGAGGGAGAGAGAGGGAGAGAAAGGGAGAGAGAGGGAGAGAAAGGGAGAGAGAGGGAGAGAGAGGGAGAGAGAGAGGGAGAGAGAGGAAGAGAGAGGGAGAGAGAGAGGGAGAGAGAGAGCAACGGTGTTCCAGGGAAATTTGTTTTGATATAATTATTCAGTATAATTATTCATATGTAGAAATTTACCTCCGAAATCATAACAGCTGATCGGTGCTCGCGGACTATTCTGCGGGCGTTAACCTCACACGACGAACGTGTGCGTGCGTGCGTGAGCGCCGTGATGTTTGGGTCGCGACACCGGTAGGACGATCGGCGAGCGTTTGGCGCTGGTCTAACGACGCAAAAACGAAATAAACGAAACAAACTTGACACAACGAAACAAATTCGAAAGACGACTCGTGACGTTAGACCGGTGCGTGAACAAACGACGCGCTCGCAGAAGAGGCAGCAGAACGCGACGGACGTCACGTGCAAATTCGCGTGAAATTATTAATTACAATTATTAATTACAATTTACATAACGAATGTCTTACTGAGAAGAAATATGACTTTGGTGTGTGAATACGGAACTAATTGTACACAAATTTACTGTTTCGCGTATTGTGCTTTGTGTTTATCACTTCTCGGCAATAAACAGAATAGTTTCCAAAACATACTAATTCCTACATACGCTTACTCCCATTAATATTCGGACACCATTTAAACCGCAATAACCTTTTTAAAACTGGACTGAACGATTTGAATTTTGTTTAGATGTAGTTTTGTTACAATTTTGCTATCGCTTAGACTGACAAAACATAATAAAAAATTCCGTTCCTTAAATTTTTTATCCGAGCTTATAACGACAATTTCAAAAAGAAAAACGCGTTCTGTATATCTCGATAAGTATAATAATATGCATGCTGAACATATTTAATCGAGATCGGTTAACTCAAAGTTTAGTTGCAAGCGTTAAAAGATTGAATAAACTGCAGATTTCTCGCACTTGTTTGTCGAAAGAGTCAAAAAACGGGACGAAACAGCGATTTATCCGATCTTCAATTATTTACGGCTCGTATGTCGATTTCGATGACATTTTCAATGTGTTTGTACAAAATGCATTTTTTAAATTTCCGTTATATAGACTTTGATAAAAAAGTTAAAAAATGAAAGTTTTTATTTTTTTTTAATCATTCTAACCAATAGCAAGATTTTTAAAAAAGCATTCTGGTTATGGTCCAATAGACTATTTCCTCTATCATCTAACAAAAATTAAAGTAGTTTGATCCGGTCTTAAAAAATTATTGTGTTTTAAAAGGTGTCCGAATATTAATAGGAGTCTTTGTATATTTTTAAGTGTGATTATATTCGTACTTCATTTAAAAATAATTATTAGGGTCAAGCAAAGGGATGATTCTTTCGTCTAAAGAAATGTTACCTAAAACTTTATTATATTTCGAAAAATATAATCGTTGAAGTTACTACGAAACATTTTTACGATGGACATATCTGCAGTACTATTTACCTAATTAAAAAACCTGTCGAATCCCATCAAGCATTGTTACAACCCCTGGCAAAAATATACGATCACTTTTTAAAACGCATTAATCTTTTCCAAATTGGACTAAATGATTTGATTTTTTTTTTAATGTTAAAGGGACTATTTTACAATATAATGACTAGCATACCTTTTTTTTAACTCTGCTGTTACTTAAAATGCGATTTTGATGGTCTCCAATTGTTTGTAATTAATAACAACACGATCTAGATCTACGAAAAGCATTTTAAAAATTTTCGTTCCAGCTTCAAATGAAAAAGTTAGAGAACAAATATTTCGTATTTCTTTTTTCTCATTCCAAGTAACAGCACAATTAACAAGAAGCATTTTAGACATTGCACAGTGAACTAGTCCCTTTAACGTTTAAAAAAAAATCGAAAGTCATTTGATGGAGTATTAAAAAAGTTATTGCATCTTAAAACGCGAACGAATACTTTTTGCCACGGGTTGTAGATTCATTAGGAACATCGAAGCAATTCGAGACAAACCCAAACATTCAAACCGAATAAATATTTCAAAATGCTTCCTTGTACAAAAATGATGAATTTTCCAGACAACAACGACGATGCCGGCGTCCGCGACTGTGTCCGCCAGTGGGAAAAGATACACGTGCCCGTACTGCCCTTATGGTACTGATCGACGAGATCTGTACACTCGCCACGAAAACATCCATCGCGAGGAAAAGCCGTTTCACTGCTACATTTGCTACAAACCGTTCAATCGTGCGGATCATGTGAAGAAACACTTTCTAAGGATGCACCGAGAACACGGCTACGAGCTGTCCAGGATACGTAGACCAGCAGGGTCCAGTGCACCCAAGCCACTTCAACAAGATACAACCGCTGGCAGCACCGGAAACGGAAACACGAACGGCCAGCAACAACAGCAACAGCATGCCAACTATTCGACTGGTTTTAACAATAACAAGAGTTACCAGTTGCAGCCGAACCCTGGAAACGGCACTACCACGACCACCACGGGTATCTATCAGGCAACTTCGATGCCTGCACCAAGTATAATGCAACCAGATGCAGCGAACTGTACGACTGGCAGAAGGGTCCAAAATGGAGGGTGCAATAGCAAGAGTCACCTTAAGGGTGGCTCGAAAGGAGCCCAGGAAAGAAGGTAGCAGATTCTTTATCGATTTTATCATTTGTTTCTTTTTTATCATTCCATGATAAAAGAGTAATCTTTGAATGCAAGCACTGAATGATAACTTTAGAATGATCAACGCTTTCTCAATCGGAAGTAGCTTATGGGTAGGATTTTCAATGACTGTATTACGCAGTGCGTCACAGAAATGTCTCGCAATCCGAAAATGGCGGGTTCCTGAGGTGATTTGAAGTAACTTTTTCTTTAGCAAAAATGCAATCCGCGGCTCCGTTTACAAGTTATTAACGAAAGAACACTGACCAATTAGAGGCGAGTTCGGCTGGCGCGAGGCGGTCCAGTCAACGAGCGAAGCCTCTCGCGCCAGCTGATCTTGCCTCTCATTGGTCAGTGTTTCTCATTAATAACTCGCAAACAAAGCCGCGGATTGTATTTTCGCTAAAGAAAATGTTACTTCAAATGACCTCAGGAACCCCCCATTTCCAGATTACGAGACATTTTTGGGACACCCTGTATAAGGAAATGTACGAAATTTGGTTTTAGTTAATATGTTTGTAAAGAGACGCAATCGGGAAGATTTGACGATGTTGTTACGTTATTGATAACTTTTTAATGTTATTAAGAGAAGCAATACAAACATTTTTATTTAATTCCTGTTTCTTACAATTGATGTAGGAAATTTTTGTTCTCCATTAAGATCCACTGTCTAGTAAAACAAAATGTCTGTACGTTGTCCAAATTCGTTATTTGTTCTTGTTATATTTGAAAATTATAGCGTCTCTAAAGATGATACATTTTTGTTAACAACGCAATTTTATTTTAACTTCTTCAAGAATCCGATAAGGCATATTTAGCTCTACTTTGTTACCAAACCTCACTGTCTACAATTTCAGCGGTAACACGTACGATTTTATTCTCTTTTGTCGCGCTAAACTATTATGCGAATAGTGAGAGATGTGTCTAATCAGAAATCGAAACTATCCCCGTCGATTTTCTTTCCCGACTAACTAGTTCAAATTTTCAGGTATACCTGTTGTTACTGTTCGTGGAGCGGCGTGGACAACTGGTGCCTAAAACGGCACTTAAACACGCACCTGAAACCATTCGCTTGCACCCTCTGCGAATACAAAGCTGCACGCGCCGAGCGATTAGCAACCCATGTGCTAAAGGTGCACAACAGGCGGCAGTGCTCGAGGTGCTCGTTCCTAGGCGAGGATGCTGCACAGTTGCAGATGCACCAGCTCCATGTGCATCGTGTCAGCAGCGCGAATGCACCTGCAACATCCACGGCGCCGGCCTCGCCGCCACCAAACAACCGCCACCAACAACCCATGCAGTAAGAACGCGTTAACAAATTCCTTCATTCTCAAAACTTCTAGATTGAAAAATATCTTTTCGAAGACAGATCCAAGTTATAGTTTTTCTAAGCTGTTCACAGTCTTGACTTTATCTTATTCTTGATTCAGTTTTCTTGAGCAGTAAGAGTTTTCCTGTGACATTTTAGTCTGAATATCATTTTTCACTCTTTTTGTTATTTAGATCTTACGGGATTGTTTTTATACACAATCATTTTTGTAGTTATATCGATTAGAGAGATTAATTTAGTCGAATCACTATTTTAGGATTCACTTTTGTAGGATTAGCAAAAATCACCGCTACATTATTTTTCCAACTATATTTATAATCATATTTCCAGTTATATTTACCCGTGCATTGTTCAGTTAAATTTCGTATCTGAATATCGTAAATTCAATTGAATCAGGAATAGGCATTTAGTTAAACAGAAAAACTGTTGCATAAACCATTCTGTCGAGTTCGAATTCTGTCTTCAATCGAAAAAATATTGCCTCGAATAACCGAACTCATTGAGGCCTTTCTAATGAATCAAACATTTTAAATTAACGTAAACCATTTCAATTTTAAATCACTTGATAGATTAATCTGTAAAGAGAGAACCTTCAAGGCTTGTCAAACGGGTCTGAAAAATTGCCAGAATCATTGTAAACGCCTCATTCGAACGGCGTCGTTTAAACAAAAATCAATCGATCCATTAGTAGCGGAATAATTAAACCTGTACAACAAGAACACAACGCAGTTTCCGTCGCGTATGGTCCAATCGACAACAAGGGTTTATTTTCTAGCGAAATCGTGCCGAGCGATGCACGAGGGTTAAACGACCGTGTCGCGTTCGACCCTGTCATCCGTCTTTGCCGATCGCTCGGAAAACGCGATCGAGCGACGTGAATCGAAAGCCGTGGGAACGAAACACGTCGGACTCGCAGTGTTTTTCTCTGCTCTGCTCCGTTAATTGAAGTCTGATCGAACGGCTTCGGTCGGCCGTTGTAAATCTCGTCGTGTTTAGTTTGGCGCTGGCGCGGTTTCCGGCGGTGCCGTGCCGGCAGATTCATTAAAACGATTTAATCGAAAGCCGATCACATCGACTAATCCCGGTCGTTACTTTTTCGCTCGCGTCCGCCATTGGCAAACATGTGTAACGAGCGGTCGCCAGATTTAAACTTCAATCGGGCGCCGAGCGCCGCCGCGCCGAATCGCGCGTGTGTTTCTCTTTCTCGTTAGCCATCCCCTCCCTTTAAACAGAATTATTTCTGCAGAACAAATTTACTGGCGATCCCTGATGAGGCCTTTCGCGTCCGACCGATTTTTGTTGCAGGAGAAGGATTAGGAACTTTTGTTTAAATTGTCTCGGCAGCACTGCGGAAGCAGTGCTGTCGCTTCTCATTTGGGGTAAATTGAAAACGGGGGCATCTGTCTGCGAATTAAATAACACCGAACCTCAACGTGCCGATCAAAATGACCAGTTTCGCATTTTTCGTTTCAAACTTACTCTTGACATTACTAAGAAATATTCCCGATTGGAAACGATTGAGTAAACCAATCAATTCGAGCGCACGCTTCGATGCAAATTAAATGCAGCCTCTATAAATTCAGAATCTTGTCGTTTTTGTATAAATATTACTCTTTTCAGTAAGTAATATTTACTTCATCAAGAGCCAGTTTCATCGAAGCTTCGTTCTTGACATTTTAAATGTTGTTCATGGAAAGATTGCATTAACGGTATTATCGATATTTATCGTTTATTTCTAATTTTCCTATTTTAGGACGTTGAGAGAGAATAGAACTTCATGAGATCGTTTGACATGCGCGCAAAAAGCACATTTCCCGACTGAAATTGTTCTTTCTTTCGGTCTTATTTAAAATTCAAACAGAGCGTAACGTAAATGTAATTTTCATTACGAAGCGACCGAATTGGGAATTCAGCTAATTAGTTGTAATATTCGGTTGTAGAAAATGTCGGCGCGTTACCGTGAAATTGCCGAGCATTTTCCGTGGAATTGTTGATCACTGTAGTGCCGTAGCTCGCGGTTAACAAACGAGTGCCCTTATTTATGGAGAATTATTAAATTTACAGTCCCGTGGGAGGAGGTCGGCCGCCACCTGGTCCACCAGTTTTTCCCGCACCAGCTCCGGCCATCGCACCTGCTACCACCGTGATACCACCGACAACGATACTCGGGTAAGCATCTCCCGGTACCCTGTCGCCATGCTATTTGTCTGCTTTCATTTTATCCACCCTGCAACTCGTATTTCCGCAGCGACGTGTCGATGTTTATTATCTCTAACCCCTCGCCTTGTTGCATCGTCGAGTCAGAGATAGAAAAAGTTCTTTAATTCTGTCGATTATGAATCGATGTAAAGGTGACAAATGCATAAAGTAATACCGACTACTGAACATAAAGTCCAGCAATAAATATGAACATTTTGAATTTCATATAGCAGCATAGAAAATATGTTAAATGTATCGATCATTTTCTTGCTTGTAAAACGTTGAAAACGAAGCAACCGTAGCCTTTAGAAATTAATCAAAAGATAAGGAGCTAATGTCACGGTCATGACAATTATGCTGTGTCATTATGTTTAATGTTGCTCCATTCTCCCTCAACAGTAGAGATTGGTCGATAGATCTGTCACATGGTCAATAGTAAAACAAATTGGTTCCCTATCGTTGTCATAGATCTAAGCTGCGAGTGTGACTATTACGCTTTTTTTTTTTTAAATGTCTACGGTCTAAAGTGGTGGCCAAAGGAAAGGCTAAAATAATTTTCTCACAGTATTCTAAATTTTCTTCTATCTGTTCGAGCGAGATCAAAATTTCGTTTATTCGCACATGGTAATGATACAATTTCGTGTGAGAAATTATTGAAAGTTTCTTTCGACCATTAAAAGTACAGTGATTCGACCCGTCGAATCACATTTATTCGGCGACAGGTCGCAACCCGAAATCGCACGTCCCACTTTCTCGCTAATTACGCGGTCGTTAACAACCCAATGAATATTTGCTACACAGCAAATTGCAGCAGATTGCGACAATATTGCATTTCCATTTGAAAGTGATTACAATTTGCCGTTCCTTTCCTGGCATTCGATAAATGTGAACAAATTTTAAGGTATTAATTACAGTCCCCGATTTAACATGCAAATCGTCCAAGCAAAATAACGTTTCCACGACGGTCAGAATAATACGACGGAAAGTTTCGGAGAAGTGGGATCGTGTCTAGACCCGTCACGCGACAGTGCACAGTGGCCTGGGAATTCACTTTTTGTGGCTGAAATTATTGTAGCGTTGTTTCGAGGTATAAATATAGCAGTAGGTCGTTGATAGATTAATCAAACATTTAGCTGTAATCTTAATCTCATACTTTTATCTTCTTTATAACGCTGTATCTAATTACAGAGTTATGTGAGTTTGCGAATATTCTGGATTTCGAAGTTCCGAGGAGCTTCCGATACATAAGAAACAGAATCTCGTTCGAATATGAAAGTCGGAAAATCGAATTTTGGCCACAAGTTGTTTCTCAGAAACCGCTGTGCAGCGTGTGCAAAACTCGGCACCCTGATTGCGACCAATCGCCGAAGTCCCGCTCCCCCGCTCCCTTCCAATTTTCTGTTACGTTGCAGCGTCATTTTTTGGTTGACCGTTCCTTTCCGTTCGCGTGTGCACGCTTTCGTTTTTTTTGCTTTCGGTGTTCTGGGCAGGACGGCCAATGGCCGAAGTAATCGGCCATGCCGATCCTCGCTTCCACCATTTTGTTTGTACCACGTGTTGTCTTGTCTCTTTCTCTTATATCGAAGAGCGTGTCCCCGCGTCGGCGGGGGTCGCGCCCCGTTCATTGGTAGAAAAATGACGCGAACGTAACTTATGGAACAGTGCCGCGGTGGTTGCAGCCACGAGATGGTAAACTCCCCTGCAACTGCAGCGACAATGGCGTACCCGACATTGGAAGAGGAGAGGCGGTCGAGCGGTGACGACCGCTGCGACCTGACGACCGGCCACGGGCACGAGTGGGGCTTCGCCGCGGGTTCCGAAAGACCCGGCAACCCGGAGGGTCGCAGCGTTGGATCATCCGCGGATACCGTTACTATACTAAACCGTGATTTTGCGTGCAGCAACGGAGCAGTTCCCGAAGCGGTTCCCGAAGCGAGCGGCTCGAGCGGAGCCCAATCAGCCGGGAAGCCGTCCGAGCGTCCTTGGGCGGAGCGGAAGCCGGGCGAGAGGCGGTCCAGGAAGCAGAGCCAGCCGAGGAAGGTTACGTGGAACCAGGAGTTCGAAGATGACGACCTATCGACGGACCACGAGAACGAGGAGAACCAGGAGAACCAGGAGAACCAGGAGAACCAGGAGACCCATGAGAGCCATGAGAGCCATGAGAGCCATGAGAGTCATGAGAGCCATGAGAGCCATGAGAGCCATGAGAGCCATGAGAGCCAGGACAGCAAGCAGCCGGAAGACTCGTCGTCCACATCGAGCAAGGAGACCGACGGGCTAAGCGAAATAAGAACCTGGTACCGGAGACGGCACCAACTGATCTGTCGGAGGTTCCTCAAGTGCAGACTGTGTCCTCGGGATTCGTTCGCCAGAGGAACGATCTGCAGACCTTACCACACCAAGGCGTCGCTGCTATTACACAAACTGTGGCGACACGGCGCGTTCGCCAAAAGTCTGTGCCCCTCCATGCTCGAGGCCCTCGCTACTACACCGCAGGTCTCGTCCATCACGCTGAAGGCCACCGTGTTCACCAACCACGGCTACGGCTACCACAGATAACACGCGTTGTGCTCGCTAACATAGCAACGGGCGATCGAGCCGGCGGACGTCGACGCGTTCCCAAACCCGACCGGTTCGAACTGGACCGATGGGAAGGTCCGAGTTCAGGACTGATCGCGAGACCGTGGCCGACTCCTCGAGGTCCGCCGATCTCGGCCGTTGTTTTTGGATTCAGGGTATTCGATGCGGTGTCCCGGTGCATTGCGGGACCTCTGTCAAGGTGATATATCGAAGGGGGACGAACGCTCGCTACCGATGGACTTCAATGTATTTAATTTATCTAGCGTCTAGAGGAACCAAGCCGGAAGGGCTGGGATTTCGTTCCGGTGTTTCGCGGACTTTCTGGATTCGCGGTGAATCCACGCGGAGAATCTCGGTGATAGCAGGAACGTTCCGTCGGAGCCAACGAAACGATAGATAGAAACCAATTTCGTCGATGTTCGGTGCTGCAGCGGATTAGAGCCGCGGACAGCCAGCGAACCGGGAATACGTAATTTTAAGCGAACGAGAGACGGCGGAGACGTTTAGGATAAGGATGAAAACTAATCGAAAGTACCTTGTCACGCGGTTTCCTCGCGAACCCCCGATCACAATTTAGGTCCTATTAACGATTAAGCAGAGCCGAGGAGCGCGGAGGTAGGCGCGACCCGACCATATTTTCATGTATAGAACCGCGTGCTGAACTACACGAAAACATCCGAATTAGATGCGACGCGTGTTAGCCCATCGTCCAGCTATAGTCACGCGATCCGAACCGTTTCATTCATCCAACAACCCTAGTCGTCGTTCACAGTTTTCGGACGCACGACGCTCGCTCGCGGAGCGTGACGCTTTCTCGGCCGGGCAAGCATGATTTTTATATTAAGATATATTTGTACAAATCGGTATCTTGTTTACGTTATTATATGAAATATATTATATCTATTGTATTTAAGCAGAGCACGCGAGATACCTGGAGATCGTCGAGTTTTAGAGACCGAGGCGGAGTCTCTGGGACTCTGCGGCTCCCGGTCCTCCACTTTGTTTCACCCGTCCTGTGGTGGATATCTTTCAGTTGACGATGTTAGTTCTGATAATTTTATATCGTCCGGAATCGTACGGTTATGTACTTCTTAAGTTTATTGTGATTGTTGCTGTTTATGATAACGATTCTTTTAAACCGGTTCATCAGTTACCGTTTGTCAATTTCGACGTAGACATTCGGGAGACTGTCGCTACTATGCAATATTAAATTCTTTTCTTCAGATTTAATTAGTAAGATTATATTATTTATGTATCATTACTTATTCAGCTGTATTTCATATGTTTCTAACGAATTCTATACAATTCCATACGACCTATGGAAAGTTTCTTTGATTTAGCATAATCGTTTTGAATAAAAACAAGTTCATATTTTGATGAAACAAACGTATTATTGGATGGTGTTTAAAATTAATACGAGGCTGTACCTGCAAACACTTTTGTCCAACGTCAAACTTATCAGTCGGGTAAGAATGGATTCTTTTCGTACCAATTTTGCGACCATCAAATAAATAAAAGCATTTTTGCAAAATTATTTGTATAATTTCTATGGGAAAGTTGATCTGTGCGCTACTATAATTAAACATAAAAATTGAAGATATTGATGCGGAACGAAATAAGTACGCTTCTTTCGTAAAACTCTGCTCGAAGTTCTAGAATCGTCTAAAATAAAACATTATGTATCTTGATGCAGAACAAATTTGTCTCGCGTCGTAAATAATATCTCAATATATATAGAGATATAAATAATATTAATTATATTGATATAATTAATATTTATATATTAATATTTGATTATATTGATATAATTAATATTTTTATGTTAATATTTGATTATATTGATATAATTAATATTTATATATTAATATTTGATTATATTGATATAATTAATATTTTTATGTTAATATTTGATTATATTGATGTAATTAATATTTTTATATTAATATTTGATTATATTGATATAATTAATATTTATACATTGTTTGATTATTGATATAAATAATATCAATATAATATCATCTATAAAGTCAGATTTGAGGCTAATTTAATGAAGTATCTGAGAAAAAAGGAATATTCAAGTTAAAATTCACTGGTTAAAATTCATCAGCTTTTTTTCTATTTTTGTGTATCGTTAATTTTTCGATACAAGAATCGAGCAATTTTCAACATCTGGAGTTATATCTACTCTTTCGAACCATCGTCTCCAATCCAGTTTCCATTCAGGAGGCGCCTGCGGCTGGCAACCGGAGTTACACCGAAGCGTAATCGTGGTCGGTGTACGGGGATCCTTAAATTCGCATAACGCCGTGCAATGGCGCGTCGCGCGCCGTACCAGGGTGTGTAGATGCCGGTCGTGCTCTCCTAAAAAGTGTAGATGCGCCGTTTTGAAATTCATCTCCTAAATTATGGAAAACCGGCCGCGTTTTCGCGGAACGGGAACGGCGGCGCTCGTAACTCGCGGCCCGGTTGAATATATGTATGAATCCGTCGGCCGTGTCACCTTTATCACGTCGAAACTTTGCGCAGCCAGCGCGCCATCGCGCATTCAAAAAAACGACGGTCCAACATTTTTAGAGCTGTCACGGTTACAACCGTCCGAAACGGCGGCGGCGCGTGGTGAACGCGGAGGGCGAAAACAATTTAGAACGGAATTATATGTATTGTTTTTAACGGGCGAAAATACAATGGCGCCCGCAAAAAAGTTCCATCCGGCCGATTTTTCTTCCGTAATTTTCGAGCGGCCCGCGGTCTTTCAAACGGTCGCCGACGAATGTTTTCGTAATACCCGTGTTTCTCATCTTTACGGGAAAAATGCGCGATTTGTTATCGAGAATTTCGTTCGAGGGAAATCGTCGTCGACGTGCCCGCGCGGCACCATTCGAAACGACGTTGTGAAAATTTATTCGAGGCGTTTGCACGCGAGAATAATTTTCAGTAATTTCTTATCGCGAATCTGCAAGAACCGTGGCGATCCCGTTTTTGTTTGAACAGTGCCGAAACCTCGCAAGCTTTCATTCTTTATCGCGGATTTCCTCAATTTTCTCTCGACGTTAAGAGCCGTTTCTGCTTCCATTCGTTAAATCAGATCCCACGATTAAGGCGCCGGTGTTTCGACGGTAGCACGTTCTTCAGAAACAAGTTTTTAGAGGTAGAATTTAAACACAGGTATTTTCACTCTATTCGGCGTATCAATTTTATTCTGTTGAAAATACCGCCATCAGGATTTCATGAAATGTCGATGAATTTTAGCTATATCTTTGTTTTATTTGCGGTGTAATGAATACGAGTGTAGCGCATATACGAGCCTCGTTTTCGTTCCAGGGTTAATAAACCAATGCACGAAGCTATAAATTTCTCCTGTACTGTGCAAAAATAGTTGCACGGTACGTTAAATGTTTTAAAAAATCATATTTCGAAAGATACATAAAATTCGGCAACAGTGAATTAACAAGATCGTTAGCGGTTTTTCGCATTCATGAAAACACGAGTATTTTATTGTTCTCATTTAATCTCCTCGGAATTGGATATTTCCATTTCTGCCATAGATATATAAAATTCCCAGTTTATCGATAACTAGACCGCGAAATTTAAGCATTCAATCATTTCTTCAAAATCGGTAAATAATGTACGAAACAATGAAAACATTCGTAGAACCGAGAAACACTATTTCATGTTACTCACAATTTAGTAATTCAGTAAATCATTATATATATATATTACAATTTAATAAAATCATTAGCCCTTTCGTTACTAGCCTCAATTATAATCGGCATCCACATATGTACAAGGTGTCTAAAAAATGTCTCTCAATCTGGAAATGGGGGATTCCTGAGGTCACTTGAAGTAATTTTTTCCTTAGCGAAAATGCAATCCGCGGCTTCGTTTAGGAGTTATTAACGAAAAACACTGACCAATGAGAGATCGCGTACGGCTGGCGTCTCGCTCCCGCGACCACTGCCGCTGCGTCAGTCGCACTCCGATTGGTCCATGTATTTCCTTAATAACTCGCAAACAAAGCCGCGGATTGCATTTTCGCGAAGGAAAAAGTTACTTCAAATGACCTCAGGAATCTTTCATTTTCGGATTGAGAGACATTTTTGGAACACCGTGTATAAAGTGTCTTTGATTCTATTGTGTCTGATTAATCATACTAAAAGCACGTTTTGAACGTACGTAACGCAACTTTCTATTTTTCCGATTCTACGCGCAATGTGCGCACTTTTGGCGTAGTGTCGCGTTCGGTGTCGGTTCTATGGCCGCGCGGACTGCAGTAACGAAAGGGTTGAGAGATGAAATACATTTTTGCCGAACTTCTTTATTTTGTAATAGATGCAAACAATTTTTATTTTGCATAAAGATCCGCAGCGTACTTATCACATTAATTGGACTCGCCGAGGCAGAAACATATTCCTCGCAATCTCGTCTACGTTCACCAACAAATTGACCGCAGCACGAAAGTTAAGCCCGCGGATCGCCTTCATTTAAATTCCCTCTTTCCGATCGGCGACTTTTCGCCGAGCTGTGAAATGAAAGCAGCAAAACACGCTCATTGAAACGTCTCGTGCAGCCAGAGAATCGCCCGAAGCTAGTCGACTTTCTCGAGGACTTCCGGTTCCGAGAGTGCCACACGCGCCGCGTCTGAACGTGTATCTTCGCCGGCGGTAAACGACTTCTCCTCTCCTATGGACTCGTGTTCCGACAGCTCGATGGAGCTCCACGGAACGGACGATCGAGCGGAAGATCGCGATGAGGAAGCGGGAAAGCGAAGTCGAAGCGGAAGTACGCGATCCCTGGCAAATTCCGTTGTATCGGACCAGCAGGATTCTGAGACGATCGCCGGCGCGAAGCAGGTTAGCGAACGGAAAGGAACAAAAGAAAGGAGTCGAGCAGGGAGGCATCGACGCGCGAGCTTCCGGTCGATAGCGATCGCGTGACAGAGTTCGGCTCGTACGGATTATTTTAACGTCGACGGTCGCGAGAGCCCGTGCGTGGCCAGCTTATTTATTTATCCGCACGCGAGATTACCGTCGTTAGAATAAATTAATAATACAAGGTGAAGTGCGCGCCAGCGATTAGTAACGTTGAATTGTTGATCGAAAGATTACGGTGCCGCTTTATCTTGCGACGAATAATCCAGCCTTTAGCACGGCCCGTAATCCACGGACTTTTCGGTTCGTAACGTTTTTGAAGTTTACTGATGGGAATAATGATTTTCGATTATACAGGGTGTAATTTCAAAAATAGAAGATTATGTGTTCCCTTGAGAATTTTAGCAAGTAGACAATAAAATTGGGAACGTCTATCGTTTCTCTTGCTTCTGAATGCGTCAAATTCGCTGCGACGTTCTTTTGATAACAGGACATTGAAGAAGGGAGAAAATTACGCCTCCTTTTTTCCTATCCGAAAACAACTGAATTTCGTTGTGACACTTCCCTCGCAGCAGTAGAAGACATTAAAAACATAGAAAACTATTTCTTCTCTGAAGGTTATTAACAAGATTAAATAGTCACACTGTTGACAATTTGTATAGTTTCTCCTATCCAAGAACGTTTAAATCTCGCATGGCAGCAGTAAAAGACATTAGCAAGATACAAAATTATTCTTTGAACAAAATGAAACACCAAGATATACAGGGTGTTCCATAATAGTTAACATCCGGATACAGGTGATTCATGAGGTCATTTGAAGTAACTTTTTCCTTTGCAAAAAATTTCTCCGTGGCTTTGTTTACGAGTTATTAATAAAAAAAACACTGACCAATGAGAGACGAGTTGAGCCGTCGCGCGGCGGCCGCGCGGAACTGAGCTTCGTCCGCTCATTGGCTCAGCCGCCTCACGTTCGCTCGTTGGCTCGGCCGCCGCGCGACAGCTCATCTCGCCTCTCATTGGTCACTGTTTTTCCTGAATAACTCGGAAACAAAGCCGCGAATTGCATTTTCGCCAAGGAAAAAGTTACTTCAAATGACCTCAGGAATCACGACATTTCCAGTATTAACATAATTATCGAATATCCTGTATATCTTAGTGTTTCATTTTGTTAAGAGAAGGAATAATTTTGTATTTTTCTAATGTCTTTCACTGCTGCCATGCGAGCGTCATAGCGAGGTTTAAACATTTTCTGATAGGGGAAACTATAGAAATTTTCAACAGTCCGGCTATGTCAGCTTATCAATGGTCTTCAGAGAAGAAATAATTTTCTATATTTTTAATGTCTTCTATCGCCGCGAGGGAAGTGTCACAACAAAATTCAGTTGTTTTTGGATAGAAAAAAGAAAAAGAGACGTAATTTTCTCCCTTCTTCAATGTCCATCTGCTACCAAAAGAATGTCGCAGCAAGTTTAACTCCTTGCCATACTTTGACGAGTTCGATTCGTCATGAAAATTTCTAGTAATAATTTATCGAGTATAGCTGTTATTCTGTCCTTTAAAATTGCAATAAATTTCTAATCTCTTGTTATCAATGTTTAAGCATTCAAGTGAATTTAGGCATACAATAAGCAGCAATTTTCTTTCGCTTCTAAGAAATTATTGC